ACCACTGCACCTCTTAACCAAAATCCCTGGCCAGATCTTCACCAAGCCCCTGGCCACCACTTCATCAAACTCCTGGCCACCCCTTCCCCTTCATCAATGCCCTGGCCATCCCTTCGTCAAACTCCTAGCCACCCCTTACCCTTCATCAATCCCCTCCCACCCCTTTATCAATTCCTGCCACCCCTTCATCAGTCCCCTGCCCCTCTCATCAATTCCCTCCCACCCTTTACTCAGCCCTCTGCCCCTATTCATCAGCCGCCTGACCCCCTAATCAATCCCCTCCCACCCCTTTAACAGCCCTCTGCCCCATTCATCAGTCCCCTGACCCCCTCACCAATCCCCTCCCCCTTTTATCAGCCCCCTGACCCCCTCATCAGTACCCTCCCACCCCTATCACCCACCTGCCCCCCTTTAATCAGTCCCATGCCCCCCTTTTCAACCCCCTGCTCCCCTTCATCAGCCCCCTTAATACATCCCATGCCAAATAATCCAACCCCTGGCCACCCCTTCATCAGTCCCCTGCCCCCTCATCAATTCCCTCCCACCTATTTATCAGCCATCTGCCCCCATTTCATCAGCCCCCTGATCTCCTCATCAATCCCCTCCCACTCCTTTATCAACCACCTGCCCCCTTTAATCAGCCCCATGCCCCCTTTTCAGTTTCCTGCCACCCTTTATCAGCCCCCTTAATAAATCCCCTGCCAATTAATGCAATCCATGCCACCCCTTCATCAACCCTTTGCACCCCTTAATCAGACCCTGCCTCCCTTAATCAAACCCCTGCCCCCCTTAATCATACCCTGTCATCCATGCCCAGTCCCCTGCCCCCCTTAATTAGACCCAGTGTCACCCATAGCCAGTCCCAGTCCCCTGCCCCCCTTAATTAGACCCAGTGTCACCCATAGCCAGTCCCAGTCCCCTGCCCCCCTTAATTAGACCCAGTGTCACCCATAGCCAGTCCCCTGCCCCCCTTAATTAGACCCAGTGTCACCCATATCTAGTCCCCTGCCCCCTTAATTAGACCCAGTGCCACCCTTATCTAGTCCCCTGCCCCCCTTAATTAGACCCAGTTTCACCCTTATCTAGTCCCCTGCCCCACTAGACCCAGTGCCACCTTTTAGCCCAGTCCCCTGCCCCCACTAGACCCAGTGCCACCCTTATCTAGTCCCCTGCCCCTACTCAGACCCAGTGCCACTCTTATCTAGTCCCCTGCTCCCCCACTAGACCCAGTGTCACCCTTTATCTAGTCCCCTGCCCCCCTTAATTAGACCCAGTGCCACCCTTATCTAGTCCCCTGCCCCCTTAATTAGACCCAGTGCCACCCTTATCTAGTCCCCTGCCACCTTAATTAGACCCAGTGCCACCCTTATCTAGTCCCCTGCCCCCCTTAATTAGACCCAGTGTCACCCTTATCTAGTCCCCTGCCCCCCTTAATTAGACCCAGTGTCACCCTTATCTAGTCCCCAGCCCCCTTAATTAGACCCAGTGCCACTCTTATCTAGTCCCCTGCCCCCCTTAATTAGACCCTGCCCCATTTAATGAAAGATGTTTGGCTTAAAAATAAATAAGGTACTTACTTTGAAGGCTGCTGCTCCCTCCCTGTCTGCAGAGCACCGGCCGCCGCCCTCACACATGGAGCGGATCCCTCTGCGGCTCTCTGTGAAGGTGCAGCACTTGGACGCTGCGCCTGCGCCCCAAGCTCCTCCTCCACGCTCCGGAAACTGACCGCGGCTCAGCTCTCACACAATCTCGGGCCGGCCAGTGACAGAGCGACTGCGAGCTGTGTCGGCCGCCCGGCGCCCCTGTTGCCATGGCGCCCTGTGCGGCCGCACAGCTCGCACACCCCAAAGGCCGGCCCTGCTCACTACATACACCTTTTCTGTCTCCAACTGTATACCAGGAGCTTCTGCCTGCTAGTAAGAAGGTAAGGAGACAAGTGGACATGTGAGTGCTAGGGGACAGTCCTTAGAAAGCATGGAGCGAGCGGATCATTAGACACATTTATTCCAAGCTCAGGATGCTGTTGGCCAGCATGCATGATTGGCAGGCAGCCTGACATGCATTCGTGCCAGGTTAGCCTTCCAATTCTTTGGCAGGCATGCCTCCTTTTTGGGCATGTTCGTCCCTTTCGGGAGTTCTGGTTACATGATCTGCGTCAGTGGCCCATCCTCTTACATCGCCTGTTGACTTCCTGTTTCCCTGGACACTGAAACATTTACCTGAAAGATGAAAGCATGAATTAGAGAGAGATTAGCATATTTTAAGAGAAACTTAGTTTTTTTTTTTTGTTTTTTTTATAGCTGCAACATCTCCACCAGATACAGAACGCTTGGGAGGTAGGACTGTTTTAGTGTTTTTGGCCGATCAGATTCTGTACTTAGGCCTCTCATTGTCCGCACCAGGCCAACTGGGCTCTTAATCTGGCCCTGCTTATGTGTCGTGTTTGCGTTTTAAATTCAAGGGTGTGTGTGTATGTAGTGTTGGCTTTTAAATGCAGCTGTTCTTTTATGTAGTGTTGGTATTTGAATTAAGTATTGGTGTTTGAATGCAGGGGTGTGTTTGTATGTTGTTGGTGTTTGCTTTAATGTGTGAACATACATACTTACACAGATATAAATACACATGCACAATGACATACATACACACACACACACAGATGCACACGCAGACAGATGCGCGCGCACACACATCTTGACAAAGATTACCCACACAGTCTTACTTACATAAGAATCTTTATATTTGCAGCCACCCTCCTGTCAGTACACTTTCTTTAGTTCAGGAGGGTGGCCTATTTCCTGCTGCTGTTGGCTGAGGATGATGGTAGTTTTGGAGGAGCTAGTTGTAGCGGATGGCACCAGACGACCCTACAAAAATACTGTATAAAGCTGCATCCGTGTATCTGCTGTATTTTCTGTGTATTGAAAAAGAATTGTATTCCTCTGATTGTTCGGTAGTTTCATTCCCTTAGTTTATTCGAATGAAACTACCGAACAACCAGACCTCCCTGTGTGAAGTGTGTCCTCAATTACCCGTTGCAACATTGTTGCGAACGGGTAATTGAACAGTAAGTAGCCGTCCTTTGTTCTCGGGGGTGGCCGCCATTCGACAAACGAACACGTGGCGGCGGCCATTTTAAAACTCCCGAACAGCGGTGTTTGCCGTCGAGTGTCTGGAACTAAAATCGGACACTCGAGTAGGCGAACACCGCTGAGACCTCCACAGCCCTGGTCCGTTCGGTTCCAAACTACCGAACGGCCCCTCGTTCGGTAAATAGAGAATACCGAACGAGGGGATTCAGGCGAACCCTCCCTAGCCTCTATAGCTAGAGGCTTTCGTGTATTTTATTCCCTTATGCCAGGACCGACCGCAAGGCCCATTCACATGGAACCGAATTCGGCTATCTCAGTTCGTGCGGTCGGTCATTTTATTCCCTCCATACTTTTCCCGAACCCCTGGTCCGATCTGGGTGATTTTTGGATATGTTGTTCACCCAGATCAGGGCTACCCAGGGGATGTATGATTTAAAGGGGTACCCCTACGTTTAGGGGTACATCCAGAAATGGGGGGAATTGGTGTGCTGGCTAAGGGGATTATGATGCTGGCTGAGGGGAGGGGATGTGTGGGAGGTTACCAGGACAGGATTGGCTACTGTAATAATTACTGTAAATCCCTCCCTTGCATGGGAGCATGCTTTATAAGGAGACTGTGATTAAAGGCTTGTCAGTTATGCTCCTGAAACTGTGTGTCGTCCAGTTATTGGGATTGCTGTTGGGATATTGCTGTATTTTACCTGCTGGAAACCCTGCCTTTGGATTTACTATTTACTTGTTCCTGAGTCTCACTTGGATTATAAGCGGAGATAACCTGGGTACTATTGCATCTCCGCTACACTAGTCTTGCTCCTCTTCCCACGCTGCCTGTGCAACCTACCACAAGGCGCTCTGTGTGAAGCTGGGAAGAAGTGATCAGCTGTGACTTCCTCCCAGCCGGTCAATGCCTCAGGGGTCTGCATGGTCAGGGGGCCCATGCACTTATTGCCACCCGATAGGTGTTGCTGAACAGGAGCCTAGTCAAGTGCCGCGAGTTTTTAAGAGCACGACTGGGCCCCTGTTCAGCGACACATATTCAGTGGCCATAAGTGCATTGATCCCCTGACTGTACAGACCCCGGTGCATCCGCACCGGAGGTAGTTCCGCCACTGTTTTGGTGTGTGTATAGACTGGCTTTTTAATGTAAACACTACCTTTTTCAGATAAAAGGCGGTGTTTACGTTACTGCCTAGTAACACCTCTAGTAGCAGTCACTCATACACCTACTAGAGCTGCTTCCTTGGTCAGCACTGATGTTCAGTGTCTCCATGCTCTGAATGATTCAATGCATCTCTAAGAGGAGATGCTTATTTGGCAGCTCAATGTTTTGCCGCACGTGTGAATTAGGACCCCAACGCTTCCTCTTTGAAAAGCATTGGATGAGCCATCATAAAATTTGATCGCGGCCAAGTAGGCGAAGCGTGGGCACAGGAGGGCAAGAGGGGCAGGGGGACTAAATGGCTTTTTATACCTATAGTGTTCCTTTAACGTTTTTTCCAAAATAGCTGAGCTGGAAGTTCAGCAAAAGTTTCCATTTTAGCTACAAATTCACTTTAGAATTTCTGACACTTCTCACATTAGTAAATAATTCTATTGATCTTTAAAACACATTAGGGTTTTTGGGCAGAAGGAGTTTGTTAGGGAGGTTGTTTGTTTTTGTTTATACGTTACTGTTATACCAACGCATTTAACTAATGTCCTTTCACAAATTACCAGTGAGACTCGCCTGGAGATGAACTCTGATTGGATGGCTTTGAAAATCAACCAAATGAAGTTTAGGTAAGTGCAACTCAAAAGCGAGTCGTAGAATTGCTCCTGCCGTTGTGAAACCCTATAGCCACCTCCTGGAAGAAGTAGTTTATTTTTATTTATTTTTCTTCTGTGATTTGGATATTTCTTTCCATTCTAGTTTTTAAAATGGGCATCCCATGATCCTCTGATCATCTATTGAGACTTAGTTAAGAGGTGAATATGATCTTACTGAAAAGAGTTTACAATCTCTGAGATGGGCTTAGAATTTATGAGAGCTATCTATTTATTTGATTTGAATATGGTTAATTCTGCAATCCTAGTGGCATTCGTGTTCCAACCCACTATCCCCGTGGTTGGGGGTAACATTTCAGCTGAGTTACCCCTCATGGCTATTGTCACTATGCCTATATACTAGAGTCAACTGAGCATTGTTCTATCTTGTAGACTCTTGATAAATATTCCTGTCTACCACGGTCACTATGTCCACCGCAAGATCCCTGCTACTCCCCCATGCTATACTATGAGAAACCGTGCCTAAAATGTATTGTATACGCACTCTTCAAAACTAAAGAGCGACAAAAAAAGTCCTAAATGAAAATCATTTAGAGTCGACAATCTGTCTTTTACACAAGCAATGGGTTTAATTCTATAAACACAGAATAAAAGCAATAGAAATGTTTGTGCATTTTTATTTTGTATAAAACACTAATATATTCTAGTGATGTTAAATTATAAATACCCGTCACACTTGGAGAGGTCTACTTCGTGGTACCACAAATCCACTGGGAGGGTTATATGGACCAAAATCTTTTCAGTATGGTATCGCTCTTTGCCATTGTGAATGCATGCAGGATTAAACTCATTAAATTAACCTTTTACACTTTTTTTTTTTTTTTCCTGTTCTTTGTTTTATCCTTTTAAGTATTGTACGCAATGCATTACAAAGAGCTGATTGATGTATTTATAATTTTATTTCTTTTAATATGAACTCAGGAACAGACTATAATGAATATTCTATAATCCTATCCAATAAGAGCGTTCCGTTTGATAGCCATCTGGCATTTTCATTTTTATTTATTTATTTTAAAATCTGGCTCTGATCCAAGACAAACCAAAGAGAGCGTGCAGCCCATCTTATTGATTTTACCCAGCCTGCAGATCTTTTCATCTTTTCTCCTTCTTCCTAACGGAGACATCTGCAGAGTACAGACAGGTTCTCCAGTACATGTATCCCCGCCTTCTGCTTTGTATTCCCAGCACATACTCCGCACACACCCTGTCTGTCTCGATCTCCCTTACAATTCCCTCTCCTGCTATTTCTTCGCTACCTGTAAAAATCTAGATCTTAAAGGAACAGCGCACCCAGCTTCCGAAGAGGTGACGGTGACCTTGGCCAGGTTGTGTGGGTACCACTTCCTCGCATTGTCTGTGTTCTGTACACCGAAAACAACAACAAAGCCTTTTATCCATCTCCTGCTGTCACCCGATTTCCTATGGCAAATGAGAGATCTTCTTTGCAAAAGCTACCATTGAACTGCATGGGGAATTCAAGCACTCTTTTGTACACCAGTGGTAAGTGACTAAAACACTGACTATGGGGTTGATTTACTAAACTCTGAATTGTAGAGAAATTTAAAATATGGCAAAAATTTAGACTAAAATAGCCGAGCTAAGATGGAGAATATTCCCAGATCGTCTAGTTTAGCCTGCATTTTGGCATTCATGCTTCAATTCATTGCCGTTTTGGCATTTAATGAATAAACCCTAATGTATATGTAATGCATATATGGCGTGTGTATGTTATATGTTCACGTGTGTGTGTGCACATCATTCTAATCTGATTTGCTTTCACTAGGAAATTTACATAAAATGGGTTTGAGGCAAATCCTTTGTTGGATTGCAAAAAAATCTTGTTTCTTAAAATCTCTGATAAAGGCTGTTTTTGGTTACATGCATCCAGACTTAACCCAACAGCTGCTGATTGACTACATTTCCCAGAATCCTCTGACTGCCATTGGCAATATGCAATATATAGTCCAGTAACAGATAAAGGAGCAAAGATATTTGCCATTCTGGTCTATTTTCAATCTGCAATGTGAAGATTCTTCGGTTTTATATATTTTTTTTTAAATAAAAAAAATAAAACAGCACTATTAACCCCTTAAGGGCCAATATCTCATTATAATCTGGTCCCTAATGTCCTTCTTTTTTAACATCATCTGCTTTATACACCTATTTTTATGCTGTTGCCAAGTAATTGGAACATTGATTTCTGATTTAGTTACCTTAAATACTACACACCTGTTAAAATATTAACCCTTTAGGATCAAAAGCAATACAATTCCATTGAAGATTCTATCTGCAAAATGGCCATATTTTTAGGGTAGTAAGCAAGATGCCTATTGCGAGCTCAAATAGATTCTGTAGGAAATGTGTCTACTTGTAGCTTATTGCACGGCCAGCGACTGAAACAGACCATGAAATATTTATTTGGGTATCATCTTCCTCTTGCTCAGTATTTTTGGCTCTTAGGGGGTTTATTTACCAAACAATGAATTGGAGTGAATTGAAAACTACACTTTCAAAATTTAGGAAAAGATTGTCAAAGTGTAACAACTGAGTAGAAGTGTGTGTGTGTGTGTGTGTGTGTGTGTGTGTGTATGTATGTATGTTTTTTTTGTTTGTTTTTTGCAGTTTGGTTTATTAATTCACTGCAATTAGATATTTTGGAAATAACTCAGTCTATTTAAATGCGATTATACTCTGAGAGTGGTAATGGCATTTAGAGTAGAGAAAGCATCTGTACTAATTTCACCCCAAAATGCAACTGTATTTAGTTCCACAGCTGTCTCCTAGCTATGTAGTCAGCCATTTTGAAGAAGTCCTTTCGTCAGAGGGCTGGCTCATTAGAGGGATGTCAGATCTTAGGAAAGCATTAGGTGTCCAGGGGTTTTTGTTGTATGCCACAATATCTGTTCGTATATGACTTAATATTAATGGAATTTTACCCAATATTTGCCTGCGCATTTTGCCTCTTCATCATTTGCAATACAGCTGTAATTCTGAGCACTTGCTAGTCAGTCTAATAATTTCAGACCAGCAGGTGTATGAAATGGAACAAGAGGGCCAAGCCTGTGATATCTTGTAGCTGTGTTCTGTGGACCAATCAAATGCTAAGAGAAGCATTTTGATTGGACCACAGACAATGAAACAATGACACCTCGTGACAATAGAGAAGGCGGGGGAATCATCAGGGGGAACTTGGCCTCACACTGAATTCAAGGCAACTTTGTGATGAAGGGAGGTTGTGTAATTTAAAAAAAAAATTTTTTAACCAGCATAACAGAGGGAGAGTAAGTGCAAAGTACCAGTAGGGAAGTTAAAATAAGTGTTCAAAAACTGGTTTTAGCAACCTTTTTAACTCAAGGCCTATATTGGATGAGAGTGATGTAGGTATCCATCTTTATTATCCTATTTGCATATTGCTGATGGTCACTCACTTTCATGTGATCCTGGTGAGAATTTTGGAGTCTCACACACAGAAAGTAGGCCATAGTTCTAAAAGTGAAGCCGTCCCCATGCAAGCAGCAAAAACGTACCACTAGTTGCCATGGTGATTGCTCAACTTCTAGATCTTTTAGCCACTCCTTTTAAATGTCCTGCATTGTATGTCCTTATGCCCAATTTGCCACCAAGGCCACGGCTTTAGAGCAGCAGGCAGGAGAAGGGGTGGCATAGCCAGAGAGGGAGATCAAAGATATCCCTAACTGGCCAGCCCATCCTCCTGCTGTGTGTGGCTATGGCCACCAAGGACAAATTCCCCGGGCCGGCCACTGCAGAGCCGGTGCTAAATACAGCGAGGCTCTCCCTCATCTTTATTACATTGGAGCGTTGTCGCTGGTTATCACGGCAGTGTTTTGATACATTCCGGTTAGAAAGAGTTCTATCTCCCTCTGCACCACCAGGAAATTATGTTAACCCCAACCTGGCCCAAGGTTAAGCCTGCGGTAGGGAGAATACACATTTATAAAGCCTGTCACCCGACTATGCCCACTATCCTCCCCAAAATAGTCTTTGTCCTCCAACTACTGCCTCTTTTCCCCCACTATAGCCCCTGTCATCCCACTACAGCCATTGTCACCCTCACTATCCATCCCACTATAGTCCCTAATCCTCTCACTATAGCCCTTGTCACCCCATTATAGCCAATGATGCTGACCGTGGGAGACAGAGCATGGTAAACTCAGCACTGCCCTTATGTCAGTGTCCTAAACTTCCCTAGTAACATCCTCTGTATTGCATTTGGTTTCCCTGTAAATTTTAGCTGAATGCAAACCGCTCTCCTAATGCACTGTAAACCAATTTAGCTACAACCATTCCTCATCTCTTTAATAAAAGAATGACCCCTTTGTGTGCTGCCAATATCCATTTCCATAACGTCCTCTTGATCAAGAGCCAAATCTGTAACTCATACTGAAGGTCAGGTTCTACATGTAAGCAATTGGATTTATTTGATCAGATTATGTTTCTATGAATATTTATTCTGTAGACGCATTTCACCTTATTACAGTATGTGAAGCATTGTTCATCACCAATTCCCTAAATGTCTTGTTTACCTGTTATGCAGAATATTTTATAAATGTAATGTCACAGGACCCTTTATAAATTCTGTTCTGTCTTTATACAAATAGAGAGGGGACTCACGGGAACAAAATCCTTTTGATATCGCTGGTGATTTAGAACACTGGACACATCATTCTGTGTCCCTCTTGTATTTACTGCTAACAGAATACATTAAGCCCTGAAGAATCAAAGTTAGTGATCGCAAAATAAGTTCAGATTTTTACATCAAATACTGTTCATAATGAGAGATTTCTCTGTGATGTTATTTAGCCTACCTTTACGTGCCCCTGCCTGACACTGACCGCTAGCGAGAACATTTTTTTTTTATGTACAGTTTGTTTTCCTCTGTATTGCAGGTCTCTCCAGTAGTAGAGATAATCCAGCTGGAAGAAAAGAAGTTTCTATAACTGCACCTAGAACATTGAGTGAACTATCTCTGTCTGGTCTCCTGGATAAATTACATGTCAATCAAACTGACATGCACAAGTAAGACAATGTTTTATACGAAGTGTGAATAACCTTCTCTAGCAAATATTGCGGTGTGAAAATCTATATCTTTATGCATGTAATGTAAAGGTCAAAACTGTTTCTAAAACAAACTGTACTCCAGGTTAAAGGCACTAATATATTGTCACCAGGGCCGGCCTTAGGCAATTAGGCGCCCTGTGCAAAAAGTCTTCACGGCGCCCCCCCCACCTCCCACCAAGTTGCCTGAATACAGTAACACACACAGGCACCGGGGACGTGTGTATCACGAGGCAAACAAGGCATCTGCCTTGGGCGCCACTTTGCAGGGGGCGGCAAAAAAAAGCATCCCTCCAAACCCCCAGGCAGATCCCTTGCTTGCCTCGCATCCTGGGGGGCTCAAGAGCTGACCGGCTGGCCACTTTTGAGCCCCCCCAAGGCTGGCAGCGGGCAGCGAAGGAGCATACTCACCTGAGCTCTTCCTGCTCAGCTTCCTCTGCGCCGCTTAATGAAGCCGGGAGCCAGAATATGACGTCAGTCCGGCTCCCGGCATCACTAAGCGCTGCTTACTCAGCCTGTGCGCCCCCTGCCTGCCTGCCCAGCAGCCACACTGGACTGCTGGTAAGAAATCCACTCCAGCTTTCCCAGGGAGGCTGGGTGGATTTAAAATAAATGTAAAAAATATTAGTTTGTGAGTGTTAGTGGAAATGTCTGTGTGTGTGTCTGTGAGTGTTTATTTTGAAGTGAATGTGTGTGTGTGTGTGTGTGTGTGTGTGTCTGTAAGTGTGTAATTGTGTGTGTCTGTAAGTGAATGTGTGTGTGTCTGTGAGTGAATGTGTGTGTTGGTCAGTGAGTGTATATGTGTCAGTCAGTGAGTGTGTATGTCAGTCAGTGAGTGTGTATGTGTCAGTCAGTGAGTGTGTATGTGTCGTCAGTGAGTGTGTATGTGTCGTCAGTGAGTGTGTATGTGTCGTCAGTGAGTGTGCGTCTGTCAGTGAGTGAGCGTCTGTCAGTCAAAGTGCGGCCTTGACAGGAAGGGGTGGGGGAAATTTAAACTCGGTTACAGGCATGTACACACACACTCAGTTAAAGGCAGTCACACATACAGGCACAGGCACAAACAATGGCACAGCTACAGCGACACACACAGACAGACAGTCACATAGGCAGTCACACACACAGACAGACACACAGTAACACACACATAGACAGTTATACACACACAGGTAGGCAGTCACACAGATAGAAAGTCACACACACAGGCAGGCAGTCACACACAGACAGATAGTTACAGACAGACACACACAGGCAGGCAGTCACATACAGGCAGTCACACACACAGGCAGTCACACACACAGACAGACAGTCACACACACAGACAGTCACACAGACAGACAGTCTCACAGTCACATACATGGGCAGTCACACAGACAGACAGTCACATACAGACAGACAGTCACACAGACAGACAGTCACACACCACGGGCAGTCACACACCGCGGGCAGTCACACACGGGCAGTCACACACCGCGGGCAGTCACACACACCGCGGGCAGTCACACACACGGGCAGTCACACACCGCAGACAGTCACACACCCGCGGGCAGTCACACACACGGGCGAGGTCACACACCCGCGGGCAGTCACACACACGGGCAGTCACACACACGGGCAGTCACACGCGGGCAGTCACACAGACACGGGCAGTCACACACACGGGCAGTCACACAGACTGACAGTCACACAGACTGACAGTCACACAGACTGACAGTCACACAGACTGACAGTCACACAGACTGACAGTCACACAGACTGACAGTCACACAGACTGACAGTCACACAGACTGACAGTCACACAGACTGACAGTCACACAGGCAGACAGTCACACAGGCAGACAGTCACACAGGCAGACAGTCACACAGGCAGACAGTCACACAGGCAGACAGTCACACAGGCAGACAGTCACACAGGCAGACAGTCACACACAGAGACAGTCACACACACACACAGAGACAGACAGTCACACACACACAGAGACAGACAGTCACACACACACACACAGACAGACAGTCACACAAACAGGCAAACAGTCACACACACTTACCTCTTTCCAGTGGATGCAGTTGGCTGATGGGGAAGCATCTTTCCCTCTTCCTGTACAGCAGGGGCTTCGGGAGGTATTAGCCCCGTCTCCGCCTCTCGATAAGCCCCGCCTCCGCCGCTCGGTAAACCCCGCCCCCTCTGCCGCGATTTTTTTTTTTTTTAAATAGACCCGGGTGGAGAATAATTAATCCTCCAGCCAGGTACCTCTTTTAGCTCCCCTGCACTCCGGCCATGAGTGAGCTGTGTCGGCCACAGGGCGCCCCCTGTTCCATGGCGCCCTGTGCGGTCGCACAGCTCGCACACCCCTAAGGCCGGCCCTGATTGTCACTTTCTACTGTCCCTAGACAGGAGCTATAGCATATTCAGAGAACTTGTGAAATAACGGAAAACTAAAATATAAAAAATATTTTTTTCTTTTTTCAAATATCTCGTTCACTTTATGATCAACCATGTGTAATGGAAAAGCTTTAGAAAGGGTATTTGGGGTGCCCCGGAAACAGAGTCCTAGGACCGATAATGGAGATTCTATGCAAGTATTGATGCACAGAATCTAACTCATTGGCTGAGAGCTTTCAGCCAACAGAGTGGCAGGATTGGTATCAAAGCAAAAAAGAAATGATGATGACTCTGAGAACGGACAAAAGCTTAGAGTAAACTCAATAGCTTGCTTTTCGGTACATTCCTGCTCAGGTCTCAAAATAGGTTTTGCTCACTTACACCATTACAGAGAGAACATATCTGAAGCCTATCAGACTGATCCCACCTGTAGGGGCAGTCGAGATCCGAAATGCCAGCAAGTTCCCTCTGCACGAGAGATACAGCAACCCCAGACTATCGTTTCAGCCTTCTTCTGGGCCTCGTCAGTGAGGTGTAGATGATATCCCTCTAGGCACAGTGAGCACGGGGTCCACCTCTGGATTACCCTTTTAACTTGGGAGGGCTCTGCAAATGCCAGGTGTCAAAAGACATGGCATCCGAAAGGATAAGGTAAGAGGGCAAATCATTCTAAAACGGCTTGCCCAATAACTGGGAACGGCTTCAGGGTACATTCAACATCATAACCACTAATGTGGTTATGATGGTTGGAGTAACACTTTAAATAGTGTGGCAGGACATGGGTTGACCTTAGACTGACTAAAAGTGGACAACGCTAGTCTTGTAGTATAGAAGCCACCCAAAAACTGTCTCAGTACTGATCGTATTGTCTCCATTACTTCTACAAACCATGCTCCACAGCATATGTGGCAATTCTAAAATTTTATTTTTGGAGCTGAATTTGCGAATTCCCACGGACTGCAACATGAAATAAATCCAACAGATGCCAAATTAATCCATGGAGTACTTCAAGCAAGTAAATGTATATTTTTTTAGTTTGTTTTTTTTTCTTCCTATAATTAGTAAGGTAATTTTATAATGGAATTAATTAATCAGCACTTAGCAGCTGGCTAAAAAAAATACATGTGTAAGGATTTGAGTTATCTTTGACCAAATGGGCTTTACAATGAAAGTAAATTGCTTTACAAGAGAAATCAATTTGAAAATGTCTGTTTTTGCCAGACAATCTGTTTTCTTTGACAAAGTACACAATCACAAAGCAGTGTACATCTAGGAGTTGGGGGATGGAAGGACTGCAATAATGCTAAGTTTGGTGCAATAAAATGTCTTCTGCATATTTTTTACTGGCATCAAACACCCCCTGCATAATCCAAAGGATTTGTGCCTGGACTTGAGTAAATTGATGCAATCTTCCCTGACTTCAAAATTAAAGGATATGAGTCAGATGATGAACAGAAAGCTTGGCATACAGCGTGGGGATCTATTAAATATGTCCCAATCTTGTGCAATGACCTCTGTGTTAATTCAAGGTCATTTAATGGGTAAAGAGAATCAGTCCTGCTTTTAATGTATCTTCATGGAAAAACAGACGTGGAGGTCAGATCAAACTACATTTCATTCTGGCTTTTTTTGACCTGTCTAAACATAGCTCCTTTTAAGGACATCAGCATGTTGTCTTGCTTTGCCCAGCGTAACAGCTGCGCGTTTGGCGATAGTTGTTGTTGTTTTGTCATTTGTAATGGTCCCTGGACCAACACAATTATACACTTTAAATGATTCTTTAGCAAGGATCCACCTTAGATTAAAAAAGACATGGGTATGACTCAAAGAGAATGGCCTACAAAGAACCTTCAGCCATGCAAAATGTGTGGTTTGGCTACAAATAAAAATCAGGCTTGTGGTCGTTGAATAGCGGTAAAAGTTGCTGTGAGGTTGTGCTGTTTGTTTTCTTCTTTGTAGGAATATGTAGCATGGAATCGTTTTGATATCCTACTCCTTCTCTAACTTCTCATTGTCTATTTAGAATGCTCACCTACCATTATGTAGGATCGCATTGTGTTTTTAGTAGCGGGAACATCTTCCATATACTGGACATTTGTCCACACATCCTCACTATATATTTATTATGACATTTTACCGGTGTATTTGTTCCTTTGTTCAATCCTGTTCTCCTTTTCCTACTGATGTCAAGGGTTTCATTTTTAATCTCAATTTACCATTGATTAAATTGTGACTCTGTATTAAAATGATTTTAGGACATGGTTTCCTTCACCAAGTGTTTGGTCTTATATTTCAATGGATTTTTTTTTTTCTGTTTAGTTTTCCAATTGTAACGCGTTTCATTGAAAGTTTAGTTTCTGTTCCTCTTGTAGCAGTTCACTAAATTAGAATAAAGAAGTTATTAATATCTCGTTATTGGGTAACTTTGGTTTTTGTTTTTTTTTCTGGTTAATTCCATTTGCCTCTAGTGGAATATTTAGAAAATAATATTCTATTTTATTTATTTGTTTTTAATTTTTTTTTTAAATTTTTTTTTATCAAAGCAGTAAGGTGGGTGGGGGTGTCGGGTCATTTTGTCTCTGGTTTACGATGTTCCACTTCTGCTATTACAAAGGACAGACCAGACATTGAAGGCAGTTTGTCCAATCTCGCAATATTCTGCTCTGGAGACTTTTATGATCAAAATAACTTTTATTATAAGGTACACTGTGATTAAAGAGTACTTTACACATTAGTTAATAACACCATAACTAATGATAATCTATCCATATGTTATATTCCATAAACATTGTTAACCAAGTAAAATAAAAATTGGTTGGTAAGTAGCACAGTATTTGAGGGCTGTGTGTCTCTTTGCTCGAAGTAGTATGTTGCTGAATGTAGGCATAAAGACCGGTTGAGACATCTATACCAAATGTTTCAATTGGTTGATTTAATTCTCTAATAAAATAAAAGTTCTGCAGTCCTTTCTCTCGAGGACTCCAAGACTGATGCTATAAATGTATAAACGTTGTAGTCCACTGACAAATCCATCACTTGTATCCCCATTGTGTTGGGGTTGATGCTGTAGACGTTGTATTAATGATATATTGGCTCATGTTAGTCCACCCATTGTACAGCGCTACGGAATTTGATGGCGCTTTATAAATAATATCTATTCTATATAAAATGAGGTTTTGTGCTCTGCATTGTCGATGGAAGTCATATTACTAAAGAGCTTTTCTTCTATTTTTTAAAAGGTGGTTGCCATGGTAACTGCCAAAACAGAATGCATAATTAACTTCTGGGAGGGGGGATTCCCCCCCTTAATCAAGGAAAGTTTCTATCAGTTCCTCTTCTAGAGGTTGACAAAGAATAATAAATGTGATTAGTTCCTATACTTCCAGATCAAAAATATCCAACACTTTAAAAGGGTCTATATGTTTATCCCTGTTACTTTGCTTCAGCTTACATTTTAAAAAGATTTTTAAAAATCCCAGTACTTTTATTTCTTCAGACATTCCCCATGTGGGGCCTGACCAATATACACATTTGGATCAACTTCTACAAAATGGGATAGAATCTTGTACTTTTTACGTGCCTATGTCAAGGAAAGTGGTTGAGCCAGCAGGGGTAGGAAACCTTCGGCACTCCAGATGTTATGGGCTACATTTCTTACCCCCCCCCCCTTCGATGCATTGCATTATGGGAGATCAACAAAAAAACAAGGATAGTACTAAACACAGGTGAAATTAAAGTTCCTACTTACTACACAGGAGCACTACATAGATGATCAAGGCATAACGTTTATGTTCTATAAACCTAAACTTTATCTTATTTGCACCACACTGTGAAGCCTATGGATTTGTACCTTTTTTTTAAGCATTATGGGAGATGCAGTCCACAACATCTGCAGTGCCTACTCGTGTTTTAGAATATTTCTCCAACACTACCCATGGTAACTTAGGATATAAATCGAAGTCTTTGATTAACTAATACGTGAAATAATAAAAAGACTAGACCTCTCATTATGTGAACGATGTACTTCGATATCTATACCCTATTCATTATAATAATGGATAATCATGCATGAGTTGCTGTTGTGTCCTCCTCTGACATCCTATATATTTTGATTTTCAGAAATTCACACAAACCAGAGTAACGCCTTCCCTGATTATTTTGGTTACGTTCGAAGCAATAATGATACCAGCTTGCTGGTGTCCCCACTGGTTGTGGCTGGGATAGTAATAGGTCTGGTCCTCTTTCTATCCTGTGTTACCATAATCATCGGGAGTTTGAGAAAAGATGGTGGAGTAAGAGATTGGCGCATGGAGGCAGAACCGAGTTACGGTATGATAATCAAAATTTCAGCTTCTGTTTTTAATGGGAAATACAGTAAATCTGAACTGTATTGAAAGTACAAAACAAAGGCCTGTTTCACTTCCTTTCGACTGTCCAAACACTGTTGTGATTTAATATCTCTGTTCCACATCACGAATTACAGAATGCCTTTGTAAGCACAGGTATCTGATCCAAAAATGCTTTCTTTAGATTAATATGTGAATCTCAGGATTTTTTTTATAGCCTACTTATGATTAAATCTCTCTAACCATAAGCTTGTCTACAAGCTTAAGTTTCCTCATAGAAACATAGAATGTGAGGGCAGATGAGAACGACTCAGCCGATCTAGTCTGCTCAATTTTCTGAATACTCTCACTAGTCCCTGGCCTTATCTTATAGTTAGGATAGCCTTATGCCTATCCCACGCATGCTTAAACTCCTTTACTGTGTTAACCTCTACCACTTCAGCTGGAAGGCTATTCAATGCATCCACTACCCTCTCAGTAAAGTAATACTTCCTGATATTTTTAAACCTTTGCCCTTCTAATTTAAGACTGTCCTCTTGTTGTGGTTTATTTTTTTTATTTTTTTAAATATATTGTCCTCCTATCCCCCCTGTCTCATCTTTCCTCCAAGCTATACATGTTAAGATCCTTTAACCTTTCCTTGTAAGTTTTATCCCGCAATCCATGAACCAGTTTAGTAGCCCTTCTCTGGAGTTATGGTATCCAGTACTGTGTACAGTACTCCAAGTGAGGTCTCACCAGTGTTCTGTACAATGGCATGAGCATTTCTCTCTTTATACTGCTAATACCTTTTCCGTGTACAAGATCGATATCAATAGGAAAACTTTTTTTTTTTTTATCTGACATTTTGAGGTATAAATGCAGGATACGGTGTGACACAGGCCAGAAGGAGGCACGTAGCATGCCAGGCTCACTAGGCAGTCCAACGTTAGTTCCCCATGCACAGAGCGCTCCTGAACCACAAAGCTCTTGCTAGGGTAACTGGTCATTAATGTTGAGTATGCCATTGATTGAGTGACAGGACGGCTGGTGGTCCTCTTAGGTCTATGCTAAGAATTGATTGACAGGTGGGGATGGGACGACTTACTGTTGGATTGACACCAAGCTTTGATCGAAAATAAAGATTTTGTAAAAAACAAACTGGGAGAGTTGTAAGTGTGAAATGTATACATTTGTTAGCATTTTTTTAAATGTTCTGTTCTTTTTATAAACCTATCCTGTGTATATTTAAAACTGAGGGTTAATCGATCATTAGACTTCCCTATTTAGTAAATAACATGGAACTGGGTAATTCTTAACATTCCATCCTTGTTATAAGCTCCTGCCTTTGTCATTGAACACAATACATGGAGGTGAAGACACAGAAATAAAGCTTCCTATTCTCCATGCTACATGCGTCATGGCTGTGCCAAGACTCACCTGGATTGTGACCCCCAACAACCAAATCTTTAATGTACATTTAAAATGAAACATGGCATTACATGAAAAAAAATGAACAAACGTTTATAGGTGATTTTCGAAAAACAAATTCAATGGTGCAATTCTCTGTAAAGTGCTGGCTCCCCTTTAATTAAAACAACCAGTTATTTACCCAAATTCCCAGCTTTAACCCAGATTTAATGCTACAACCACTTGTTTCTTTATTTATTACCAGATGGGATTTCCTATGCGGTACCTGTCGGAGATTTGAGATCTGTATGCACTGGGGATCTTACACCATCTTTTGAATGTGGCTCGTATCTGGATTTCAATGTTGCCTATATGGACTCTCCTCCGTGGTAAGTGTTAAAACGTTGTGACATTTCAGCCACAATCAGCCAGGAAGTATTTTTCCTCTGTAGAGAGTTGACATGTACCTTGTTGATCATTAAAAAAAACCAATGGCAGAGCCTAAACTGCATATGTAGCATTCACTTAGCAACCCATTCTTAAAAATCAATGAACCAATCTTCAACCGCCACGTCATCTGTAATAATATTGATTCTGAAAACGACCTTTAGACCTTTCCTAGTGTCATATAGTCTATGCATCACTAGGGAAGTCATAGCAGTAAACCATTTATTGAGTGGGACCCATTTAAAATAAGGTGCCTGGAGTGACACCAATAGCTTATGTAACCAGATTTGGTTCTTGACGAGGGCACTAAACTGTTGTTAGATAAACTGTTGGTAGATATAGCTAAAACTTATTTTATTTGTATTATTTTAATGTACCCACGTATGGGTTGGCTGACTTTTCCACTACTGATTAGTTTTTCTTCTTGTTTAAAAAGATGTTTCTGAGTATTTCTTCGTTGGGAATTTTTATATCAACTGGAGGCTTCAGGTTTTATCCAAACCGTCTCAATCTGAGTGCAACAGAATTAAAATGAGGGGTTTCTTTTTTTATTTACGTACCTTATCTCCGCGCCAATGTCCCTCTGTGCTGGGTCAAAGCTCCACCTCCGTCCTTTGACAAGCAGGCACTAATGTGCATGCACAGTTCAGGCCGCGCGCATTAGACATCCCCATAGGAAAGTATTGAATCAATGCTTTCTTATGGGGGGGAAAATCTGGCGCTTGATATCATGTAGAGCGTGAGGACATCCAGCATCAGATACCAGATAATACATTCGTTTGGATGCAGGAAGTGCCTCCAGTGGCTGTCTGGGAGAGGCAAGCTTAGTGCTGCAATGTAAACATTGCAGCTTCTCTGGAACTACAAGATTTAACATTGCAGCACTAAGGGCAATAGGGACATTGCACCCAGACCACTTCAATGAGCTGAAGTGGTCTGGGTTCCTGTAGTGTCCTTTTAAGTAGCTAAACTGGAAACATGCTCAAGTCGGTTCTGTTACGCTATCCTTATATTTGATTCTGAATTCTCACTATAGTAAATAACACTGTCATTTGCAAAATCCAATAAACATAATACATGAGTTTATATATTTTTTTGTTGTTTTACTTCCTTTTTTCTTGTATTATTTGAGTCAGCCTGTATGTCACTTGCTATAAATGGCAGATTTGTAAATACTGTGTGGGTGAAACTAGTGACTCCCCCAGTACAATATGTAGGCTTAGGATAAGTTTAGAAATGAGAAGTTGAATGGCAGAGACTGTCACGAGATCTTGTAGTGAATGGCAGAGAGACTGTCACGAGATCTTGTAGTGAATGGCAGAGAGACTGTCACGAGATCTTGTAGACTATTACATTGGCGATAAAAAAACTCAGAAAAGGTTGCACGGGAAACCAATATTTTGTTATACCCACAAGTGACAAGATGTTCCTCTAATGTCAGATTGCATTTTTTTTTTGTTTTTTTTAATATTCGAAAGACTGTGGAACTATGAAAGTGTCCATGAATGCTTACATTTTTTAATTCCATTTTTGTGATTTCTAAAGGAACGCTCTAAACACCATAACCATTATAGCCCACTGTAAAAGTTATGGTACCAGGAGTGCCCTGGCAATCACACTGTAAATAGTCAAGCTGTTTGGTAAAGGTCTGACTGTTGCCTTGAATCCGTCCGGCACTGTTACATTGGTGGGTGCCAGAGCACCATAACTACTACCAAGCACTGTAGTGGTTATGGTGCTTGGAGGGGTCCTTTAAAGGTGGGCACTTTAGTCACCCAGAAGTTTGTCTCAATTAAGTGGTCTAGGTGCAGTGCACCAGTCTGAGAAACTGCAATAATCACATTGCAGGACAAAGACTGCCTCTAGGGCCTGTCAATCAGGCAGCCACTAGAGGCACTTCCTGGTGGTTAATGCATTTTTATTCGCCTAACTGATGCTGGACATCCTCGCTGTCTGCATAAGGACATCCAACAATAGTAAAATTCCCCTGAGGATTGACTCAGTGCTTTCCTATGGGGAGGGCCTAATACACTTGTCACGCATGCACATTACCCGTCCAAGCAAAATGGGAACTGGTGTACATACCCGCATCAGTGAAGTGGACTGTCCTGAACAGGATGAACTGATGCTGAGCCTTTTCACACTTTACAATTGTTTTGGACACCTCAATGACAACTAATGGGGAAACGGCAGTGGATCTTGAAAGCTGGATTTGAAGATTAAAATTGGAGAAACAAGGATTTAAGTTACCTCTTCAGATACAGCTTGTTCACACCATAACTATTCTAATGGTAATGTAGTGATTTAAGATCCGTGTAGTGTCTCTTTAAAGGTTACAAAATGAGGGGGAAGTGTTTAGCAGAAACAATGTGAATATGGCGTCCATTAAGCAGACAGCTCTCGGGCCCCAGGCTGTGTGCAGTCTATGATTAAGGCATTGATCTGTGGGACAAACCAGGTCAATAATAATTAACTTAACATACAAGAGACAGACTGACTTGATCTGACGGTGCGAGTATTTTTATGTTCAGTGAAGTTTAATTTTATTAGATTTAACGATAATCGGAAATAGTTGACTTTGAGCAAATTCTTCTAAAGGTAAATTGCTCCTGATTTGCCAAAATAAGTGTCCCCATAACTAATTCAGTTTTGGGGAGACTTTCACTTATCAATCTGCTTTATTTAATTTAAAGAATAACTATGGGGTGAAATTGTATTTCAGGATTTTAATTTGAATTCTGCAGGTATGGTTATTTAAAATGTGCATACCTCCCATCAATTCAAATTGGGAAAAGAGGGACACTTTAATTTTGGGGTGGGTGGTGTGGACAGGAGGTGTGCTATTCTTTGTAATTCATATTTTGTCATGACAGTCAAAATTTGTCAGAATAATGTATTCAATGATAATATAGAATAAGAGCAATGTATCTTAATTACACAGACTGATTTCTAAACATGTTTATTGTAGTTCTAAAGACCCATCGCTGACTGTAAACAGAGCTTCTCAAGCAATAATACCCGGACACACCAAGAAAACCGCTCCTGGAAAAGAGGGTAATTAGGATAGAAAAGATGTAGAGAGGTAATTGGGCCCGAAGTAGGGATTGTCCCTTCAAATATGGACACTTGGGGGGTATGCAGTTTTGAAAGATGTGAACATCCATTATCTTTCCCTAGATTTCCTCTTAATGGGACACTGTAGGCACCATAACCACTTCACAAAATCCAAGTAATAGGTGCATGGCCCCACATGACTGTTCACTGTTTAGCAGACATACTCCGCCCTCAACAGCCTGCAGTTCAATGATATTGTACGTTAGGCCATACTTATTCATACCAATGATTGTCTGAGAGCACTCAGCATATCACTGAATGGCAGGAAGGTGAGCATAGCTCTACCGCTGCCACTTGGTCAGTGGAGGCTCAGAATCTGTGAATCTCTACTAATTGAGTAAACCTTTTAGCAGTGATGCGAGACCTGACATCCATGGACTCCCGGCACCATAACCACTTCAGTCTATTGACATGGTTATGGTGCCTACAATTTTTTGCTTTAAGTTCAGCTATTATCATATATCACAATTTATAGGTATTGTAATACCGTTGCTGGATAATGGATATAATTAGTTATATACAGAAAAAAAGGCAGGTGTAGGCGCTCGCTATAATGTGAACAGGCAGCAGTAAATCTAAAAGGATTCCCAAACCTTGCGTAAGATACAGAAATGTGATAAACCGCACCAAACAAAACAAAAAAAAATCACACGGGTATATTTAATCTTAACAATAACCCAATAATGTGTAATAATTAAAAAATCCAGTACCAGAAAAACCTCAAAATTAAACAGAACTACAACAAAAAAGTGTAATGTCTTAATGGTTTTACAGAGAGCTAAGTATATAGGTGTCTAACTCACACTTTTCTGAGCTACTGAGAGTTCTGCTGTTTAGCGCTTTGACAGAACAATCCCTGTCTTAGGAAATATATATAGATGCACAATTTTATGTGTCCAGTACGACTAAAGCAGAGAGGGTTTAATAGTGCAATATGTTAAAATATATAAGGTGCACAAAAGCAAAGTATCCTGCTTATACTTTGGAGAGCAATAAACTTGCTCTGGTGGTTTATTGTAGAATGAATATGTATGTAATATTACAAGTAAATAAAATACAATAATATATAGATATAAAGAACGTGTCTAAGGTCACACTTTACGCGTTTCTCCCAGCAGGGCTTCCTCGGTGTGGATGATCCTCAAAATGTCCAAGTTTATATAGGAAGTTCGTCTTTGATTAGTGGAATTAGGTGTGCTGATTTACTTCTTGGTTCTTTGGGTCACCTGTCATTCGGAAGTGGTATATAGAAGAACTATTTATCTAAATACTTTTTACAGATTTATACTTTGTATATGCTAATGTGATTTAAAAAGATATATATTTGTCTCGAATATCTTATATAAATGTATTAAAAAAAAAAAGTGTTCCTTTTCCTTATACCCAGGTGCTTTGCTAGAGTGCAATCTAGTCTGTGTTTATATATTGTAATTACATATTACCGCATTAAACATTATAATAATAAGCTCTGGGTGAACAGATATCCAGATTCTCACCAAATACTTTGTTCCCTAATAGTGAACCTCTATTACTCTAAATAAAGCATTGATGTATATCTTGGCTAGGGATTGTACAGTGACAAACTATATATGAAGCTGGCCAGGAATTAAACCATTGCTTTACAGGGAGGACTATAAAAGACCGTCTCAGGTATATGGGAGACCGGATCACGGCGTGTACCTACTACCTGTATCTGCAAATATATTTTGCGCCTTCTTTGGTACCGTCCGGGTTCGTCGTCAATGTCTTCTGCCTGCTGCTCATTCATTTAGTTGCTGCAGAGACTTAATTTGAAAGCCAATATTAAAGCAGACATGTGCCAGCGCCTGCCCTGGTTTCGGAAGCACTTGGCCTCCATTAAACGTCTGTGTTTGATAAGATTGGGCTTACAGTCAGAAGGTTGTGATTTACAAAATGGAATGGAAGTCGTCGTTGGCTTCCTATCCAGGGGCAGTGAGCATCTGTTATCGAGGAGTAATCATCCCCCGCTTTAACCTGCAGCATATTTTACACACACAGCCTCCTAATTGCTTTTAGATTCTAGAGCTTGATATTTGCAGCTAAGATTTTTTTTTTTCCACGCATGTTTAATGGGCCATCTGGCCTGTACTGTACAGACTTATGGCTTTATAAAACATTCTGTGCTGGAAATGAGATCTGAGGAGGAAGTGGACCAGCAGGCTTTTCAAGGGCAGTCCTTAAAGCACCCCAAAGCTACCTTTCTCCAACTTTTTCCCCTGGTCTTTCTCTCTACAAATATGTTTTTGTTTTTTTTTTTTCCTCTTTTTTTTTTTTGATCTTTTTCTCGTAAAATGCATAAGACAAAGTAGGGACTACGTTGCCTTATCTATATTATTTTTTCTATGCTTGCCAAAAAGTGGACACTTCCTTTGTCAAGTTTTTTATTTTCCCACAATACTTGCGTGCATCACATCCCTAGCCTAGAATCTAGAGATCAAGCCTCTGTGCTTTCCTGAGCGACGTTTGAAACCGTGGATATTTTGGGGGGACTTTCAGCCCATGAAGGCAGCCAATTATTGTCACGGCCACGATCCTTAATATGGCAGCGGCTTGGACCGAGATCCGGCTTTGCAAAAGAGCCAAAATAAATGGGAAAATTCCAGTGGCAAAAAAATACATGTGGGGATAATTAGGACTCAAAGGGGCAGTAAAATAAATTCGGGTTGGAAGGTGACAGAGCCGCTGTAATCCTTCTGCCCCACATTTCCTCCTTCAGCAGATCACACTGCACCTTAGTGCTTTTTGAAAACTGCTGCAATGATATTGGTTTTAAAAATGTCAACATGAAAATGTTTTTAAAAACCAAAACCACATCACTGTCTGGCTGAGAATTAAAGGTGAACTCTCACTTCACTTGTCAATTCAATTTTTATTTCACTTTTTTTCACATCTTACAAAAACATACTTGTTAAACACAGCGATAAACATAATGTTTAATAAGGCGATTAAGTGACCTTTACTGCAAGAGAGAGGTTTCAATATGACAGTAGACAGCTGTATCAGCCTCCTCCTCTGACCTAGTTACAATTAGGCCTAGAGAGATGTCTGGCCCAGTCTCAGAGTGGGAGAGAGTCTAGTAATCTTAAAGAGATACAACAAAGCTGTTTCACAAATAGAAGACTCCCTTAACCATCAGTCTCAGATGAAGTATCACAGTGTATCTTTGTTCTGTGCTCACACCTTTCAACACTGTTTTTATGAAACACAATCCGTTTTGCATCATCCAAAAAGGTATTTATTCCCCTTGAGAAATCCAACATCATGCACTATATCTTAAATGTATCCTTTGACATTGGGAGCTAATTTCTGGGTTTATGAGAGGTGAAATGTTGATGGAAATTAGTAAAGACTACGCTTATTGACGTGCTCATACTGCCAGTGAATGCTGTAAAACTGGTGGAGGCACCACGCCAGTGACAATCAATATCTACATTCAGAATGCAGTTAGATAATTTGCTTCTGACGGTTTCACATCTCCAGGAAAGTGCCAGACTCGCTCATCAGTTCCCCCGAGCCAGATTCCAAACCCTTCGCTCCATTACAAACACTCAGTGCAGCCAACTAGCTCAATGCTAACCGTTTCATTTACTCACACCAAGGTTGAATATCAGGATTCCAAATAGGTTATAGCGAAAGATGTAATTTTATTTCAAAAAAACATTAAAATCAGTACGTCTTAAAATAATCAAATTTTAATAAACCTCCTACAAAAGTAAAGGGGGAGATAAGCTAAATAAGTGTGTTTAGAAATTAAATATGATCAGCGTTTTATTTGGCAACTGTTCTCCCCATCCTATTATTAAGGCTGTTGTGCAGAATATAGCAACGTCCCACCAGACTCATCAACTGTACGACCTTCTTCATATGAGGATTCTTGAGTTGCAATAATATCTGCATGTGATATACAATGTGATGGTAGAATAATCGCTTTGGTTTGCAACCTGCAGCCAAAGCCTGATCTTTCAATTAGAACCTTGGCCATCCAACTCTTTTTTTTTTTTTTTTGTTCTCAGAACCCTGACCTAGTGACAAGATCTGAAAAACAAAATTAACTATCAGTACACACCCCAAATAACCTCTCACTCTCTAAAATGTGTGCTCACCACCAACACTATCAAACTAAATTACAAGTGAATATAGAAAAATGAAGTAGATCAATCCCCAGGTCCAAAATATCTTATGTAATATCACTGGAAAAACACAAGCATATACCACATATAGGGTAAAATAGTACAAAACACCAATCAAGTGCACGGTAAATAATGCACTTACAAGACAGCCAAATATAATTGCTTTTTTTTTTACCCTTAGGGGTATTTATCTGGGCCAGAGATTCTTGGTTATATTTCCATATATATAATGGTTCCGGTAAAATAAAGAGAACTACAAAATAGTGCAATATCATTTAAAATCAATAAATGTAATAATAATGGTTGCATTTACAAGAAAAATATAAGAACATGCACATTGCCACTGGTATGGTTTGCACTCCTGTAGTAGGCTTGTCAATTCATCCACCAAGCATGGACTGTAGAAGTGGTTTAAATAAAATGAACAAAAAATGATTTAACAAAATAATCGCACAGTCCCAACTTTTCATCTTATGGCAAGACTTCCTCAGGGGTAGTCTTATCATAGGATGGCTTACCATATGACAAAACGCATTGGGACTCTGCTGATGGAAGGGGTAAAACACTAGGATACTGTTCGAGAAAGGGAAAGTCTGCGGGGAACTGGTAAAAGTCACTGGGAATCGGGGTACAGGTATCTGAATGGAACATATGTCTAGGCTTGACTTGGGAGTGGGACTCTTCCATTATACATTGTTTTTCAAGCCTGAACTGTCTTTTTATCCAAATATACATTGAGAAAGGGTTCACCTGTAATTATAACGAGTCTCTATCTTATTCTAGCTATGATGACTGTGTCGGGCACGGAGTCTCTGCAATATCTCTTCCTTCAGATGATCCTCCTCCATACTCCTTGGAAGATCCTTGCCTACAGTGTGATTTAGACCTCAATGTCTCCTCTGAAGAGAATGCAGGCCTTCAACAGACCTCTGACACTTTGCCCTCAGATGACTTCCAAGTTGTCCCATCATCTAGAACTTGGAACGTTGAGATTGTGCACATTCCCCTTACACCCATGGACTCTGTTAAAGACGCCCCTCTACAGAATCTTCCTCTTCCAGCTCCGAATGTTTAACTCCGTTGAATGGATTGATTCTACAGCAATACACAAGCAACTTGTTTAGCATATCTGCTTCACACTGTAGAAAGATGCAATTTATTTCACTTGCACTAGATAAGAAACTGTAGTGTTTCGTTAACAGGAAGGATGCGAGATAACCCCACAAAATTAATATTTAGAATCATCCACCAGGTGCGTCAACTCAATTTTCTGCTCGTTCCATTTGGTCGAAAACTGAGAAGTGCCATTAGCGATTGCCTAGCAATAAATAATTACAATAGCATTGTACGTCATCTTCTATAAGTGTGCCTCATTCAGGACTTGCGCGTAGCTAGGAGAATACCTCACTAATCTGTGGTAATACTGTATTGCAAAAAGTATTAAAATTTATTTATACTGAACTAGAAGCAAAAAATATTTTGTATACTTATTCACGAATATGACAGCTGAAGTATATTTGAGCACAACAGCCTCTGTCAACATCAACTTGTGTGAGCATTTGTGTTGATTATCAAGAAATATGTCCTGTCACCTCTTGCAATGATCTAGGCAACAATTTGTCTCTGGATAGCCTTAAGTTTGGGGAGCAAATTTCAACATCAGTATCTGGTACAATAACTTTTGTTTGCAGGGGATGGGGGGGTGTTTGTTATTTTTAATATTATTTGTTGGCTAATTTTTGGCATGGATTAGTACATGAGCAAACAAGAACATGCCAGATAGAATAAACATTGCAAAAGCAGTTTCAAGCATGGGGGTCAAACATGTTATGAGTGTTGCTGGTACAATAATTTGATCTAAAACCAATATATCTTTTCAATTTGCTGAGAGTCCTATCACAACACAAATGCACTGCAGCACATTGAGAATAAATATACTGAACGGGTTCAGACTGTGAAAAGGTAAATATTAGAAGTATGAGCAAATATTGAATCCAGAAGAACTGGACTCTGCCCGATTTGTATGTTGAAACAGCTGGTGATCTCCTATTAACAAGAAAGTGTCTCCGCAAACTAGCAGTCAAAGAGGTGACTGGAGTATGGAGGTTATTTTGTTACTCATTGTATTTTTAACCAGGTTCTAAATTGTTTCATGTGACTGACCTATGTTGTCATACTTTGACTCTTAAAAATGCGATAATATTGTGAGGATTTTTCATTTTCAGCTTTAAAAAAGTTAAAGGGACACTCTGGACACCATAACAACTTAATTCAAATGGTTTAACCCCAAAGTCTTCAGGCTGGCGCCTGTCAACTCTCTCTCTTTACTTCCATATGAGCCTGTAGCTTCAATTGGTAAGCTTCAGACTGGCCGGCCATGTATAGGCTGAAGTCACAATCTATCCGAATAAATAATGCAGCTTAATAAGAACTTGGACTTAAATGGTTGTGGAGGGGCACAGCTGACTCGTGTCAGATTGAAGAAGTTGTGGTTAAACCATTTAAGGAATCAACCCCTGAAGGTAAGCCAGTACCTGGGACCACCTGCACCATAACTTTAAAACAATTAAGTTGTTATGGTGCCCTAAAGGTTCCAAGTCTGTCCAGTAAAATGAGATTTGTTAAAGACACGGCCCATTACCCACAGAGAGGAAAACAAGGTGTTTAAAAACATTTTTAATTCACAGCTGCAGAATGGAATGTAGAGATGAGATGTGAATTTGTTTCCTGTTTTATGTATATTTTAATATACATCTTTAATTTGGAACACTATAATTGTGTTTAATTTGTGATGTGGGAATGAATGAGAACTTCTTGGTTGTCTTGTGCTGCCCCCAATTCCTGAAATAAGCAACACAGAACTGGAGGAGGAAAACCGAGCCCAGATTTTGAGTGAGTCCCATGACATTTGCCAGTTGGAATGTGATCTGTCAACTCAGACTGGTTTTAGACTGCTGAAAGATCTGCAGAGGTAAGAAACAAGAATTTTCAAATCTTTTTACGTTCAGCATAAAATTACAGAATTAAAGGGTTACTCTAACCACCATGACTTCTTCTGCTTATTGAAGTGGTCATGGTGGTGGGAGTCTGGCACTTGTGTGCCATGGGCAAGTTGCACCCCTAGCACGTTACTAAGGCTGCCTAATGTCAATTCTGTGCATAAATACATCTGTCATCAGCGCGCACTGCATTCTGTCGACAGACGTAACTGCTTCTCCCTTGCACTAAAATGGTCCAATTACACTGCTCAAAAAAATAAAGGGAACGCAAAAATAACACATCCTAGATCTGAATGAATTAAATATTCTTCTTAAATACTTTGTTCTTTACATAGTTGAATGTGCTGTCAACAAAATCACACAAAAATTAAAAAATGGAAATCTAATTTTTCAACCCATGTGGAGGTCTGGATTTGGAGTCACACTCAAAATTAAAATGGAAAAACACACTACAGGCTGATCTAACTTTGATGTAATGTCCTTAAAGTAAGTCAACATGAGGCTCAGAATTGTGTGTGACCTCCACGTGCCTGTATGACCTCCCTACAACGCTTGGGCATGCTCCTGATGAGGTGGCGGATGGTCTCCTGAGGGATCTCCTCCCAGACCTGGACTAAAGCATCTACCAACGCCTGGACTGTCTGTAGTGCAACGTGACGTTGGTGGATGGAGCGAGACATGATGTCCCAGATGTGCTCAATTGGATTCAGGTCTGGGGAATGGGCGGGCCAGTCCATAGCATCAATGCCTTGGTCTTGCAGGAACTGCTAAGACACTCCAGCCACATGATGTCTAGCATTGTCTTGCATTAGGAGGAACCCAGGGCCAACCGCACCAGCATATGGTCTCACAAGGGGTCTGAGGTTCTCATCTCGGTACCTAATGGCAGTCAGGCTACCTCTGGCGAGCACATGGAGGGATGTGCGGCCCCCAAAGAAATGCCACCCCACACCATTACTGACCCACTGCCAAACCGGTCATGCTGGAGGATGTTGCAGGCAGCAGAACGTTCTCCACGGCATCTCCAGACTATGTCACGTCTGTCACATGTGCTCAGTGTGAACCTGCTTTCATCTGTGAAGAGCACAGGGCGCCAGTGGTGAATTTGCCAATCTTGGTGTTCTCTGGTAAATGCCAAACATCCTGCATGGTGTTGGGCTGTAAGCACAACTCCCACCTGTGGACATCGGGCCCTCATGGTTTTTGTTTCTGACTGTTTGAGCAAACACATGCACATTTGTGGCCTCCGAGAGGAGCCCTGTCACAGGGGGGCCAGGAGGTGGCCATCTGGCCACCTCAGGGCGCCCCCAATGCTGGGCTAGGTAAGGCAGAGCAGGCACCTTCTTACCTTGATGGCAGGTGAATGCTCTGCCAACAAATGCCGTTTCCCTGAGGATAGGGGGGCAAAGAAGCAGGCTGCGAGGGAGGCTGTTCTTGCAGCCTCTATCTCCTCCCTCGCGCGCCCTCTGTGATGCCAGGAGCCAGAATATGCCGTAATTCCGGCCCCGGCATACTAAACAGCGTGCAGGAGGAGTGAGGAGCTGCCCCACACTGGACTCAAGGGAGGTGAGTGTTTGACTGTCAGTGTGTGTGTGTGTGTGTGTGTGTCTGTCAGTGAGTTTCAGTGAGTGTGTCAGTCCGTGTACGTATGTCAGTGAGTGTCTGTGTGTGTGTGTCAGTGAATGAGTGTCTGTCAATAAGTGTCTGTGTGTGTGTGTGTCTGTCATTGAGTGTGTCTGCCAGTGAGTGAGTGACATGAGGGGGTGGCAAAATGGATCTTTGCCTAGGGCGGCAGACAGTGGCATACAGACAATCCATAGGGCCCCGGTGCGAAACTGATCCGTGGGCCCCTCCCCATTCGCCCCGACAGACACACACATACACACAGACACACACACACACACATATACAGGCACACAGGCAGACACACACAGGCATTGAGACATACATACATACATACAGACAGGCACACATACACACAAAGGCACATACATACAGACAAGCACACACACAGAGACAGACATACATACAGATACACGCACACATACAAAGACATGCATACAAACAGGCATTCACACATACAAACAGACAGACACACACACACACACATACATACAAACACACACACCTTTTAGGTGCAGGAGGGTGACTTTCCCTGGGGTCCAGTGGTGGCTCAGCTGGATGGGAGTCAGAGTTCCCAATCTGACTCCCTGTTCTTCCTCCCCTGCGGGCTCGGTGTACGCTGGGAGGAGTGATGTGCAGTCACTTCCTCCCAGCTTGTGATGTCATCACAGGGGGCTCGGTCACGATGTTAAAGCGCCCAGCGCTGACCGGGCCCCCCTGACCGCATGGCCCACCCGATGGACCCCTTGGACGGCGGAACCGGTGGTTTGCTGCGCAAAAGATGGCGGCGGGTACCCAGTCGCAGGGGTCCACAGGGTGTCTGTATGTCTGCCAGAAATCCTTTCAATGCGGCGCGGCATTAGGTCTCCCCCACCGCCAGCTGCGCATGTGCAATAGGTCTCTTCCGCATGTGCAATAGGCCTCTTCAGCGGGGGAGGAGCGTGGGCGGACCCTGAACCAGCGCCAAAGGAACATCGGCGCTGGATAAAGGTAAGTCACTGAAGGGGTTTTAACCCTTCAGCAACCTGGGGTGGGGGGTGGGAGGGAGAGGGTACCTGTAGTGCCAGGAAAACTGATTGTTTTCCTGGCACTGGAGTGTCCCTTTAACATGTTTCACTTAAGGGTTTCATCATGTGTCATATAGGGTTGTATTCCTGACCCTATAGTGTTCCTTTAACTTTAGCGGTGTGACTAGGGGTGGGGCTGCTATGTGGAATTTTAGGTGACTTGGTAATAATAATTTATGTAACTAAAATATAATGTAGAACAAGAACATTGTGTTTTATTTACATAGACTGATTTCTTGACACATTTATTGTAGTTTAAAGACACATTACTGGGAGTATTATTGCTGTGGAGCTCTGCTATACACTCAGACACACCAGCAATATGGAGCTCCTAGAAAAGTGGAAAATTAGGATAGATAAGAGGGACAGGGGGGTTTGGGCCCAAAATAGGTACTTTCCTTGCTAACTAGGGACACTTGGGACATGTGGAAATATACCGACAGATAAAAGTTGCATATTTACACAATAATGCACAGATAGACACAGAGGTACAAATAAATTCACATACGTATATATTAATGTACAGCTAAAGACACACAGGCACGTTTATGTAAGGAATATATTGAAAAACAAAATGTATCCATGCCTAATGTACAATGTCCATGTGTTACAGTTAGTTCTGAAGACACTCCTAGCACATCCTATATCAGACTTGTGCTCTCAATACAGAACTAGCTTTTTAATGTAATGTGAAGATCAGATCACTGTCTGTTTCTCTCTGATACATTGCACTGATTGTCTGCTGTCCACAAAGGATGCTTTAACCAGTTTCACTTTTGTTTCACACTTCCTTATCCAGAGACTGTTTGTTTGATTGTCAGGATGTTAAACCAAACAGACCCAGGGCCTTGAAAACCCAGAGCCAATCACAGAGACAAAGGGCTTAGAGAATGATTTTAACTTCCTGATGCAGAACCCTGGGCAAAGGGACATCCAGAGCACAGCTTCCAGAAGATGAAGGGGAATGCTGACAGACTGAGGCTTTACCAAGAGTATATTTCATACTATGAAGACAGGAGCAGAGATGGCAACATTTCATTGTGTGACAAACAGGATGTGGAGGGGCTCAGACACATTGTGTCAGTGTGCAGCCCATCAGCAGAGCTCAGAGGCTCCCATTTCCAGATCATCGTAGAAAACTATCGCAGGAGGCTGGGGGAGCAGCAGAGACAGGGATTACTGAAAACCCTCCTGAAAGGATTCGCCATTCTGGAACTGATCTGTATCAACCTGTTTCTGTACCCCTGGAGGAAAGAGATCAGGACTCTGAAGGTAAAACCTACAACCAGATTGCCAGCACACAACACACTTGTTAACCCCTTGATTCCCTGGGTAAAGTAGATTCTGGAGGAAATCGAACGCATGCAATGTAATTAAATGCACTGAATTTTAGTCTTTAAATCAAAATATAACGTTGCAAAAATGCAACATCATTCTCATTTATTCTAAGGTTTTAAAGCACTTATATGTACTGTTGTTGTTGTGGTATTGGCAGCTAGATGGTGTAAATTCTGCATTTTTAATATGTTTTTAAGCATGACAAATTAAAGCAGGCTGTTTAGAATGTTCTGATCTTACAGTGTACTCGTGGTCTGGTAAATAAACTAGGTACTAGATTAGGTATAGCCCCCAGTGATCCCTCAGCTAGTGGAAGCTACACCTACCTTGATACTTTGCCATCCTTAACCCCTTAAGGACATGTGTGACATATCATGATTCCCTTTTATTCCAGAAGTTTGGTCCTTAAGGGGTTAAAGTATTACGATCACTAGTAAAACTGTTGCACAAGCCTGTTGTTAATACTAAAAAAAAATAATAATAATAATAAAAAAAATATATATATATATAATTTAAGTATACATGTTACTTAGCTCCGCCGTATGATGCGCCTCAGTATATAAGGGAATGAGGGCAGTGGTGTATCACAAAACTCAGGCACCCCCCTGTAACTCCCCCACCCCACCCTCTAAATACATACACACTCACTGACAGACACACAAACACTCAGTGTCAGACACACACACTCACTGACACACACATACACTAGCTAACAGACATACATACTCACTGACAGACACACATACACACACTCTCACTAATAGACAACATACACACTAACAGACACGCATACTCTCTCACTAACAGACATGCATACACACTAACACACTCACTAACAGACACACACACTAACACTCTCTAACAGACACACACATAGTAACACATACACTCACACTAACAGACACACTCACTAACAAAAACACACACTCACATTTTATTAAAAAAAATTAAATCCCCCCAGCCTCCCTACCTTTTGGGAATGCTGGGGTGGATTCTCGTTTTCCCTGGAATCCAGTGGGGCTGCTGGGTCGGCAGGCTTGTCGGTGAGTGAATGACATCATATTCCGGCTCCGGCATCACTGCGGTGCACGCGAAGGAGCTGAACAGGAGGATTAGTGCTCCCTTGCCGTCCGCCCAGAAAGCTCCGCCGCTGCCAGACTAGGGGGCCCTGCAGTGGCGTACACATGACCCATGGGGCCCCGGTGCGAAAATTGATCCGTGCCTCCCCCCCGCGGGCCGCAACACATGGCGGTGGACACCTGGTCGCAGGGGTTACAGGGCTGCGACCCCTGCGACCGCGGTATGTATGCCAGTGCATGCAGATGCATACACACTTAAAGGACCACTACAGACACCCAGATCACATCAGCTCAATGAAGTTGTCTGGGTGTCCGGTCCCTCTAGTTTTATCCCTGCAGCTGAAAACATAGCAGTTTCAGAGAAACTGCTATGTTTCACTGAGGGTTAATCCAGCCTCTAGTGGCTGTCTCACTGACAGCCGCTAGAGGAGCACACTGAATTTCCATAGGAAAGCATTGAGTAATGCTTTCCTATGGGCGGTTTGAATGCATGCGCGGTCGCATTCGGAGCTGAGAGGCTGAGGGATCCCCAGCGCCAAGGGAGTCCGGCGCTGGAGAAAGGTAAGTGCTGAAGACACACACACTCTCACTTACAGACGCATACACACTAGCTAACAGACACACACATTTACTGACAGAGACACACTCAGCGACAGACATACATACACACTCACTTACAAAACATACACTCTCATTGACAAACACAAACTCACTAACAGACATCAAACAGACTCACTAACACACACACACACACTCAGTAAGACACACACAGTAACACTCACTGACACTCACTAGCAGACACACACACTAACACTCACTCTAACACTAACACTCACTAGCAGACACACACATTAGCAGACACACACACTAACACTCACACTAACACTCACACACACTCTAACACTCACACATTTTTATTTTATTTTTTAAATGTAATCCCCCCAGCTTCCTTACCTTTTGGAGTGCTGGGGGGATTCCCTGGGGTCCAGTGGTGCTGCTGGGCTCCTGGGCAGGTGGCCGGTCGGGCAGGCGGGCGTGCGAGGGAGCACTCAGTGCTTCTTTTTCAGCTCCCTCGCGCGCCGCGTAGGGATGCCGGCGCCGGAACATGACGTCATCTTCCGGCTCCGGTATCAGTGCAGTGCGCGAGGGAGCTGAAGAGGAAGCACTGAGTGCTCCCTCGCGCACCTGCCTTCCAGGGGTCAGCAGGGCCAGCCTCGGGGGGCCCTGGGGTGGTCGGCTCCTGGGCTCCCAGTGGATACACACCTGTGACCCTGGTATCTAGGGCCCTGGACAAAAGGCTGGCAAGGCATTTGCCAGAGCGATAGGGGGGCGGCTTTTTTTGCTGCCCCCAGAAAGTGCCGTCCAAGGCAAGTGGCTTGTTTACCTCGCTGGAAATACGCCCCTGAATGAGGGGCCATCACTTGTTCCTCTTTAAGTCCTGCAAAGCATTATGGGAGTTTTACTTTTACACTGCAGAAGGTATACTTTCTGGCCACCACAGTTCTAGAATATAGTTTATTTAGTACAAATTATAGACATATGGTTACCATATGGCAAGCAGTGGCATCTACTGGTGAAATGATTGGGGTTGTGGATGTCCAGTTGTAACCAGGCCACAGACCAAGCAGCCTTAAATTCTGGTACCTTTTTGTAGTCAGATCACCCCCAAAAAATGGCAAAGTGATAACTGTATAGGGCCCACATCTTGTTGCTGGGCTACTGGTTTCATCAGACTGTCAGAAGGTTAGAAGGAATAACAAGTGATCTGTTTCTCTACAGGAAGACTTCTTAGTGATTTTAGAACAATGGGTCTTACCTTTTTTTGTCAATGACCAAAATTCTGTATATGGCATTAGCTCAGTGCAAAGGTAGGTAGCCCTCGGCTGTCAGATGCTGAAGACTACGTCTCCTATGATGCTTTGCCAACATTATGGCTGTTAGAGCATTATGAGAGATTTTTACAACACCTAAGGTGCCAAAGGTTGCCTAACCTTGGCGCAGTGCCTTATTCTTAAAGGGACACTTAAAGGCACCAAAACAACTTTAGCTTAATGAAGTAGTTTTGGTGTATAGATAATGCCAAATGCGGTCTCCATGCTCAATTCTCTGATACTTAGGAGTTAAATCACTTTGTTTTATGTAGCCCTAGTCACACCTCCCTGCATGTGACAATTCCTGTACAGCATCATCTAATGTTTACAAGTCCTCTATTGCAGGTTCTGTTTAATTTAGGATTTAGTATCCTCTGCACTGTCAATAGCTTGCTAGACCCTGCAGGAGCCTCCGGTGTGTAATGAAAGTTCAATTTAGAGAGCAGGAGATAAAAACTTTTAAAATAAGTTACATATTATTGAAAATTAAACCATTTTGTTTTCATGCAGGCTGTGTCAGTCACATCTAGGGAAGGCGTGACTAGAGCTGCATAAACAAAATGTATAACGCGAATGGCTGCATAAACAAAAGCAAAAGTGATTTAACTCCTAAATGGCAGAGAATTGAGTAGAGACTACAGGGGCATTGTCTATACACCAAAACTGCTTCATTAGGCTAAAGTTGTTTTGGTGGAAGAGTGGAGCGTTATAAGTGAGACCAATTGTCACAACCAACAAAGCCCAGTGGAGCACTAATGTAAAAGAGTATAACTTACCCTTATAATAAGGGATTCAAATATATACATAAAAGTATCTAGGGAAACGAGATAAGGAAAAGCAATTGGTGCAGTATGTTAAGGCTTTGAGAGATTAAGAGGAAACTTGAATTGTAGCAAACTCACATGGTTGAGAGCCTGGAGAGGATAGGCTCAAATCACAATCACAGTGGTATTTATAGTGAATACCCAACTTCTTCTAAGTTGTTTTTCAAATGCTCAAAAAGAGAAGCAGAGGGACAAAAAACCCTAGTGCAGTATCCTTTAGACCAATGGAGCAATACAAATGAATAAAGATATTTGCTCACCTTGTTAAGAGCCAATGTACACTGGGCTCTCAGTTTAAACAGCACTGTGCCTTTAAGAGGGCACAACTCTTCTTTTTAGCAGCAGGAAAATGACAATTCAAGGAACTTGGATAAAGAAAATAAAATAAATTTATTAAACTTACATATATAAAAGATAAATAAAATACCATTAAATAATGGTGAAATAAAACAAAAAGAGTCCTTGTTGTCCAAGACGCGTTTCACCTTATACCAAGGCTTTTTCAATCGATTTCCTGCTTTCATAAATTTCCGTTTGAAATACTGTGGGGTACTTCCTCATTGGTCAAAATGGTTTAATTTACCCGCCGTTGGTCGTCCAGTCCTGATAGAGTCCTTCAGGGCTTCCGTTGTTGGTGCACTCGAAACCGGAAGTGACGTATCGCAAAAATAATATTTTTTTTTCTTCTTCTTCCTCTCAGCCCTTCCACACCTATATTTCCCATTGAACAATTGACCATCCTATTATGAAGGGGCATTATATTATTGTATGATCAACACGGATAAAAAATGTATAACGTTTATATCTGGGATCATTACACTTTATATGTATGTCAACCACATTTATTCAATGGTGCGACTAGTGTAAATCAATTTTGGAACCATTTGTTCCCTCTCTCTCTTTTTTTATGTAAACTACTTTGGGTGAACTGTTATAGGTTATTACATTGACCAAAGAATTTTATTTGAACAGATTTAATTCATTAGAATATAGTCTAATTGTAGACTTGATGTCTCTCTCCCTTTCTTTTTTTCTTTTTCTTTTTCCCATTTCTGTGGTGCACCATATACTATACATTGTATCTATGGACGATATGTGGACTGGCTGGCTCTTGCCAGCATCAAATATGGAGATCGGCAGAGACCGGAAGTGACGTCGCGGCCATTGCGATACGTCACTTCCGGTTTCGAGTGCACCAACAACGGAAGCCCTGAAGGACTCTATCAGGACTGGACGACCAACGGCGGGTAAATTAAACCATTTTGACCAATGAGGAAGTACCCCACAGTATTTAAAACGGAAATTTATGAAAGCAGGAAATCGATTGAAAAAGCCTTGGTATAAGGTGAAAGGTGTCTCGGACAACAAGGACTCTTTTTTTTTTTATTTCACCATTATTTAATGGTATTTTATTTATCTTTTATATATGTAAGTTTAATAAATTTATTTTATTTTCTTTATCCAAGTTCCTTGAATTGTCATTTTCCTGCTGCTAAAAAGAAGAGTTGTGCCCTCTTAAAGGCACAGTGCTGTTTAAACTGAGAGCCCAGTATACATTGGCTCTTAACAAGGTGAGCAAATATCTTTATTCATTTGTATTGCTCCATTGGTGTAAAGGATACTGCACTAGGGTTTTTTTGTCCCTCTGCTTCTCTTTTTGAGCATTTGAAAAACAACTTAGAAGAAGTTGGGTATTCACTATAAATACCTCTGCGATTGTGATTTGAGCCTATCCTCTCCAGGCTCTCAACCATGTGAGTTTGCTACAATTCAAGTTTCCTCTTAATCTCTCAAAGCCTTAACATACTGCACCAATTGCTTTTCCTTATCTCGTTTCCCTAGATACCTTTATGTATATATTTGAATCCCTTATTATAAGGGTAAGTTGTACTCTGTTACATTAGCGCTCCACTGGGCTTTGTTGGTTGTGACAATTTGTCTCACTTATAACGCTCCACTCTTCCTCTGCATGTTTTTGTGTTAAGGTTAGAGGTACCTACACACGTGTTGAGCTGCTCACCACAATTTGGATTTTATATTATACCACATTTTAAGCGCCTGTACTTCACAGATAATTGTATTCTTTTTCTTAAAGTTGTTTTGGTGACTATAGTGTCCATAAAGAACCCATTTATAACATGTAGTATAATTAATATTAGATGACATTTTGAATAACCCCTCATTTGCACTATTGCCAATGCTTGTTAGGGCTCCGTTGTACTAGAGAGGGCAATGCTGTTACGGTAAACAAACTACTGTTAGCTGACTTGCTCTGTTAGCGAATGGTGATAAACTGTTGATGAAATGTATGAGTAGAACTTCGTCATTAGCAATTGTAACGATTGGGGGCCTGGCCATGGATGCCTCAGGGACCACTGGCTTGGTCAGACAGCTAGAAAATGATCTCACCTAGGACCAGGGGACAGCACCGTAAACTAATGGTACCATGACCACTAAATCTTCATGCAGTGGTTATGGTTCCTAGACTGCTTCCCATGACCTGTTGATCATCTTGCGATTTGCCAGAGGCCTGAATTTGTAGGTTTGCCAGGTAATGGCTTTGTTTACAATGATTTGCGTTAGAGAATGCAATAGATAAGATATTTTCTCTGTGGATAACAGACAGACCTTTGGTGCATTGTTAAATATTATGGCAGGGTTTGTTTTAATTTGTTACTTACGATAAATACTAATTATACTTTTTCAAAGCAACAGCACGCATCATTTTCTCAACTTATGTTATCTGACGTACGTAAAAAAATTTTTATTCACCCCCCCAGACAAAATACATTCTGTGATATCCAGCTTAATCTTTTAATTGTAAGTAACTCCCTAATTTTCTGTCCTTATGTGGCACTACCAAATTTAAGAGTACCATATTAGGGAGCTGCTGAGTTTGCTAGATAACTCCCCTATTTCGTATCCTTAAATCTGGCAATTCCTCACAAGGATAGCAAATTAGAGAGCTGTGTAGAAGAGTGTGCCTTAATTTGATCTACTAAACAGCTGAAAGACTAAAATAAAAAAACATAACTTTGAGCTGTTTAGTAGATATCTCCCTAAGTATGCAGGATTAAAGGGACATCCCACTTCACAAATACAAAATAAATTTTAAAAACACTGTTTAGTAGGTATACCCCAAATTAAAATATGCATGTATTTGATTATGCATTTTTTAATTGGGCATATTTCTAAAACCTGCTTGCAGCTCTCTGCTGCCTTTGCAAACCCTCTCCTTCTAACCCCGCCCAGACTTTCTGTCGTTGTCCAGTCACAGAACAAATCAAGACAAAAGGTCCTCATGGGGGGGGGGACAATAGGTTATACTGTAATTTAGGGCCCCCACCTGCCGCTCATGGGTGGGGGCAGAGGGGGACAATAGGTCCTTCCCTCCCCCTATTGTCACCGCTTATGGGTTGGGGCCGGGACAATAGGTTACCCCCCCATTGTAATTACAATAGTGAGCCGCTACTGGCTGCTCATTGTTTAGTAGACATACCCCTTCTCACGGTATAGCGAGTAGGGGCAGAAGGGTGATTTTAATCTCCCTTAATTACTAAATACTACGTAATCTTTACTTAGTAAATTTGGCTGAATGAACAATTTTGGTCTTTCAACCTTTTAGTAGATGGCTCCCTAATTCCCACTGTATTGTATAGGGACAGGCATTAGCAGTAGAAAGAGAGAAGTGCTCATGCCATTGTACAGAACACTGGTGAGACCCCACTTGGAGTATTGTATGCAGTACTGGAGACCGTATCTCCAGAAGGGTATTGATACTTTAGAGAGGGTTCAGAGAAGGGCTACTAAACTGGTTAATGGATTGCAAGATAAAACTTACAAGGAAAAGTATAGCTTGGAGGAAAGACGAGACAGGGGGGATATGATAGAAACATTTAAATGCATAAAGGAGGAGATTATATTTAAAAGAAGAAAAACTAGTGGATGCATGGAATAGCCTTCCAGCTGAAGTGGTAGAGGTTAACACAGTAAAGGAGTTTAAGCATGGGTGGGATAGGCATAAGGCTATCCTAGACTTAAGATAAGGCCAGGGACTAATGAAAGTATTTAGAAAATTGGGCAGCCTAGATGGGCCGAATGGTTCTTATCTGCCGTCACATTCTATGTTTCTATGTTACTAAGCGGCTGCAAGATGCAGCTGCGGCACGAATAAGATTGAAATGTAATAAATTTGAATGAAATTTCGACCCAAACAAAAAGTACCGAATTGTGTCCTAACACAAATGGACAAACTGTTCTTATTCTGTTAGGACGAAATTCGGTAGTTTTGTCGGCAGTCGAACGGCAAATTAAGCAACACAAGAACACAGGAAGAGAGGGGAGTATTGTGGGAACATTTCTTTGACCACAGGAAATGGAGCGGACTTAGCTCCTCCCCTGGGTGAAAGCTGGTCAAGCATAGGAAGAATTTTGTCCATTGTGCTATTTGTTCATTGATTCACTTACATTATGCAATATTAGATTTGGACAAATGGTTGAATCAAACATATATATATATTTTATTTTTTTTTGTCCAAATGCACAAATCGATTAATCTCTAAACCATGCTGTAGTTGAACTTTTTAAATAGCTCTAGATGTCAACCTTAAATAATTAGTAGCCACATGTTAAACTGGTTCCTGGGATTTGCTGTAAAAAAAAGTGTATTGTAAAGACTTGAAAGTTGCGTCTCAATAATATATATTTTTCATGTTTGTTTTTTTTTTTCTTTTTAGAGGTTCACCGGAAACTTTGTATACTACATCGAACCTGTGATTCCAGGGCATACATTGAAAAAAACCCTGCAAAGGGTAGGTTACACCATCATAACCGAGACTGAGTATATTATTGGAAGGAAAATTAATACAGAAGAGGCAAAACAAGTTGCCTTTGAACTGTTTGTGGCCAGAATTCAGTGCCAAGAACTAATTCAGCTGATAAATCAAGGTAAAACAGACTGCTTGGAACCCTTATTTACAGAGTCTTCTTGTGAGAAAGATGAAGGAGGAGGGACTGAATGTAAAAATGCAGAGGAGCCCTCCACAGACAAAAATATGCACATTTTACTTGGTTTTTCAAAAATCGAGGGATTTGATAAACAGGAATTTAAATGTAAAATAAAAGAGCTCACTACTAAGGGACTGGAGAATAGAGTATTGGAAGAGTCATTGGCATCACCTTTGAAACCAGAAAGTGTCCATGATGATTCAGAAGGTTATTTTAGCAAACCCTTAGACAGTGAAGAATTTATCAATAAATACAGTGATCTCAACCTAGCTCAAAAGCCTATATTCCCAAGACATGAAAGCAAAACTATCAATATGAAAACCTACGAGAAGAAGACTAATCAGTGGATAAAACCATTACTTGAAGAATCAAATAAATACCTCCTTGGTCTAGAATCTTCTTCTGTGAATGCGATGGCCAATCCAAAATATTCAGATGAAGCAGGTTGGAGCAAAGCCATGGAATTTGTACAAGAACCAGTGAGTGAGGCTAGAGGTGAAAGCAGTGATGCCATGAATTACTCTCCTGGTTGGCATAAATCAAACATAGAAGGAAATTTTGGCAATATGCCCCACAATGACTCTAGAGTGGACTACAGCAGGTCAACCAAGCATGGACAACCTTTAGAGAGGTCAGTAATTAAACTGAAAATGGAAAAAATAAACAATGTGTTTTTACCTTATCCTACTGAAGAGACTTTACCTCCAAACAGTAAGGCACCTACCAGTGACAATGAGTTGACCAACACTGAGTCAAAGTGGAAATTAGCCGTGTGTGAAGATCACTTTAGTGGTGGTTCCACATCAAATACTGTTAATGTGGGGTTGTGTACACCCAAACTCACATTTCCCATGAATAAAGCTGTTGAGTGTAGTGGCGATATAGAAAACATAAGTCACCTTCGAGAGCCTCCAAACTCAACATACATCCCACCAGGTGGGGTAGAGCGGCATATCGGGAAAATCTCAGACTTGCAACCTGAGGAGGACCAATCCTTGTCTCAGTCATCAGATATAGTGCAAATTGATGAAACCATATATAAGATGAACACAGATACACGGGAGGATTTTGTAATTATTACCAGGCGAGAAAATTTCCAAAGTTGAATGACACTGTGCCGACACAAACCTGAGACTTATTGTTCTAAATTTGACTTTGATTATCTGCTTGCTGCTACACTGAAGCATTTTTACTTCATTCCAAAAAAAAATTCTGAATGGGTTCAGATCATTATCGTGTATAGTTACACGCATGCCAACATTTCCATGGAGATTTTAAGAAGACATGTCCATCCAGATGGTTCTCGCTTGCAATATGAGTTGGTAGCAGATGCACTAAATCAGTGAAAAAGATACAGCAGCCCATATATCAGGATTTAAACAACCCCACATTCTTTAGCAAATAAACTTCCACAGCCATTATATGTAACCAAATATATGCTGACCAATCACAACTGGAGTTGTACTTGTGCCTCACACGGTGGCAGGAATCTTGTTTGTGTGCGTAAAACCTTGTCTAATACATCGTCCACTCTGTTTATCTTCACCAGTGGTAAACCACGCATGGTCCTACAACCATTGCAGAACTTCTATTATCCATGTAGCAAAATGCACTGCAGATTGTGGTGTTCCTGCCCTATTGTGTTTTTTTTTTATTTTTATTTAAAGCCATACTCTCCTGCTCGATGCTACAGGTAAGTTGACATTGACTGGACCAGTCATACAGGCATAGCAAGGAGAATCGAGGCAATCAATTTTGAAATGAAAGATATGAAGGATGAAGAACAGAATTTGTTCTATATTGAATGAGAGTTGATCTGTATATTAATGCATTTTCATTGCATTTTCTCTGGAACAGATGTCATTCAGGTAACCTACTGACTGACCAGCCAAATTTTAAATTGTGACTAAGAAATAAGAATGTTACACCAGCCTCACCTCACTAGCTTTTGGTGATGACCACACACTACTACCATGTAAAGATTGTTGACTATATTCTGCTCTTCACTTGTTGGTGGGTTGTTTTTTTTTTTTTTCCTATGGCCATCTATGCCGGCAGATGTCTCGGTGCCAATAATGTTAACATATGAAGACTTAGAAAGCATGAAACACACAGTGCTTCCATTGTGGACTTATGTTTTTTTTAAATCATACCTAATTTCATGAACAGCCTTACAAATAAGATGCTTCATCAGCTAGTTTTCTCTAACATGTGGTGCCTTATTTTTCTCCAAAGTACCGGTGTCCTTTACTTGCACAGATAGTAAGGCTGGTAAATTTTTTTCAAAATCCTTTGTATCCTGTAGGGTTAGTGGATACAGAATCTTTGAAGCCAAGAACTGGCCTTGTAATATATAATACTCTAGAATGGGTATGGCCATCTGTGGTCTTCCATGAAGATGATAGAAGTTGAGGTCCAACAACAAAGTGAGGGCTATATTTGCCAAATCAACAAGAATTAATTGTAGGCATCGTTCAAGCTGTTGCAGGACTAGAATTTTCACATTGGCTACATCTTCTCTAGAGCAGTCTAAGCCACTTCTCATGAATCCTGAGGCTCCAGGTTTAACCAAATCCCAAAATATACAAGCACAGGATATGCGAGGACTGGTTTATGAATCACAGTTCTACATCACACCTTGCTAGAACATTCTATTGTGAGTATATTTTGTAAGAAAAATAGAATCTAAAATTACTTAGAGAAATAAAATTACCAACAATATTATACATGAGTGATGTGATTCAAATTTCTCAAGGTCTACCATTTATTGGCCAAATCACTTCAGTCAGGATTCTGATCAATGTGTGTCTCACCAGGAAATACTGAACTACACCTCATATGATCTTCTGAAGCGATTGATGTCCATTGCTGGACATTTTTTCATATAAAAATTTACTTGACCAAAAGGCAAATGCTAACTGCTTTTTGGGCCAAATAATTCCATGTTGCTATTGTTAAAGGGACAATCTAAGCACCATCTTACAAAGTGGTTTTAATACAGATACCCTGCATCCTGTGTTTGTTTTTAAAAAATACTTTATTCTTGAGACCAATACCCTTTTCCTGTGTGTCTGGACTGTCAATCAACCTTCTGGAATGGTCTCTTCCTGGTTTGCAGTATCAATTTTGTACAACATTTACGTTGGTGTCAGAGCACACCTCATGCTAACCCCGAATGCCATAGATAATCTGCAGAGTTTATCCTTGTGGCTGTGTAGATATCAGCAGTATAGACAGATTTATGCAGTCGCTGCAGAGTGCAGGACAGAGAGTAAAACACTAGCCAGTTTTGTAGTTAATGAAAATTATTATTTTTTTTTTTTTTAGGGCTTAGAACATATTTGTAAATTCCAAACTTTTCTAGCACTGCCAGAGCATATAACGAAAATGAATTTAATACCCACAGTGCCATGTATGGGAGTTAGTCCGCGATGTACATGTACTCATACATAATTTTTTAAGCAGATGCTTTTTAAATGGGGACCTGTCATGCCCATTCAATTAAGCATATGATTCTATCTATACATTGTGCTAGCAAATGTATAGGTAAGGAGAGAAAACTATTTTAAAAAAAACAAACATTTTCTTGCAGCTGTCAGACAATGCCTCGGCGTACTGAGCCATAGCCTGACATGGGAAAACAGAAAAGACCTCACACATGAGGTCCGTCTGCTCTCCACCCCTAGCACCCACAGCCCATGCGCTGCCAACAAAGCCTACGTGCACGTCACTGTCGATTTGCCCTGTTTGGGGGAATTCCTCCCAGAAGAGTCCGAGTGGAGTGGCCCAGTGGTGGGAGTAACACCCGCGAAGCAGCTGATACTAAGGAAAAGTAAGTGAATGTTTCTATTTTCCATTGACTATACTATGTATCTTTGTGATATATGGTATATTTAATGTAGATGGGAGCGATTTAAGGTAAGTGACATTTTTCATTACAGGTTTACGCTGTGTGCCCAGAGCATCATGGGTCAATGCAGTTGCCCTGGACATGGAAGGTAAGTGTGTCTTATACTTGCTTCCACTGCACTCCTCATCCTAATAAGAGCTTTTATAAACTGTAATGGGGTAAGGAAATGAAGGACTGACACATTCAGAGAAGTGGCAATTCTAGTTTAAAATAGGTTATTTTTGAAACGTATAAATTGGAACATAGTTACCAAAATGACGATAAACATCCTGCTCAAAAAATTATTGCAAATTTAAGGAAAACTCCAGACATCAAACCACTTAATCTCTTTGAAGTAGCCCTGCTGCTATCCAGGTTCCTATTTAGAAAGGACCGTCCCTATTTCAGTCCCAAATCTCACTGTCCCTTTTTTCTAGGAGCTCCATATTGTTGGTGTGTCTGGGTCTATAGTAGAGCTCCAAGCAAAAATACTCCCAGTAATGTGCCTTTAAACTTAATAAATGTGTTTAGATATTCGTCTGTGTAAATAAGATACATTGTTCTAAATTACATTTTGCATAAATTGCTATTAGTAATTCACTTAAAATTTATCAGAACTGCCTGGCCTGCAACTGTAAATATTGCAGTTTTCATAAACTGCAATATTTACCTTGCAGGGCTAACTCCTCCTCTAGTGGCTTTGTACTAGACAGATTTTCTGTGCTATAGCGTCGCTGGACGTCCTTACGCTATGTGAGGACCTCCAGTGTCACTAAAATCCCAATAGGGAAGCATTGAAAGCATTTTTCAATGCTTTCCTATGGGGAGGTCTAATGCGCGTGTGTGTCATTGCTGCGCATGCGCAATAGGTCTCACCCCGCCGGTGGCCGCGCATGCGCAATCGGTCTCCCCTGCCGGATAACGTCGGCGGGGGAAGAGTGTGGGCGGACCCTGGACCAGCGCCGAGGGACATCGGTGCTGGACTCCGGTAAGTCACGGAAGGGGTTCAAACTCCTTCAGCAACCTGGGATGGGGGGTGGGAGAGAGAAGGTACCTGCAGTGCCAGGAAAACTGTTTGTTTTCCTGGCACTGGAGTGTCACTTTAATTGAAATGTCATTAAGGTGTTTGGAGGGTCCCTTTAATTTATAGAGAAAACATTTTGATTATCACACTGTGAGGAAGCCAAATGATCCTCTCGCAGACCCAACCATGTGTAACCTTTATTATACTGTACCTCTGTGCCACAGGGGAGAACAGTGGCACTGAAAGGGTTAAAACCATGCCGTGTCTCCAGCAGAGGTAGGCAATCTTCAGCACTCCAGCTTCTGTAGACTATCTCCCATAATGCTCTTAGTCATACTTACAAAGCATCATGGGTCTAGTCCAAAACATCTTGAGTGCCGAAGGTTGCCTACCCCTGCAACCTAGATAATGTTTGTACTAGTTACAGCTGCAAACACTGGCAAAGTGTTAAAGTGAATCGAATATTAAAATGCAAAATTTCAACCAGAAATAGTGGATTTTGAAAACTCAGTTTGGTTAGTTTAGCCCGAATTTCACCATTAGGCTTTTCATTACGGATTATTTGCCGTTTAAGAGGAAAAAGTCCTTGCATATCGAATCACAGCTTTTCCACCCACAAGAAAATATTACACAATCCACAAAAATACTGTTTATTACAACAGCTGTATGTTATTAACATACAAACATAACATGATATAAAAATAGTTTTGACATGGTATACATTTTAGATAAGTTAAACATTATGATCCAGCACAAAAACAACATTCATTAACAAAATGCCATCATGAAACCCACTTGTACCCTTAACCCTTTCATGGCAAGGGGATGGGAAAAAACCTTTGTATTCTGCCAGAACTGGTTGTTATGCATGAAAATGTTAAATTAAATTTCTTATCTTGTCAGAGATATCTTGTCTTGTAACATTGAACATTTTAAAGGACCACTATAGGCACCCAGACCACTTCAGCTCAATGAAGTGGTCTGGGTGCCAGGTCCATCTAGGGTTAACCCTGCAGCTGTAAACATAGCAGTTTCAGTGAAACTGCTATGTTTACATTAGGGTTAATCCAGCCTCTAGTGGCTGTCTCATTGACAGCCGCTAGAGGCGCTTCCCACTGTGATTTTCACAGTGAGAAGACGCTGCCGCCCACAGAAAAAGCATGAGAAATGCTTTCCTATGGACTGATTGAATGCGCGCATGGCCTTTGCCGTGCATGCGCATTCGGCGGATGACTTAGAAGAGGGAGGAGAGTCCCTAGCACCAAGGAGAAAGGTAAGAATTAAACCCCTTCCTCCCCCTCCAGCCTGGTGGGAGTGGGACCCTAGGGGTGGGGGGGGGAGGGGGAGACCCAAAGACCTCATAGTGCCAGGAAAACAAGTTTGTTTTCCTGGCACAATAGTGGTCCTTTAACTATTCAATTGTCCTGAATCCCAATTTGCTGAATTTTTTTGGTCTCAGTTCCATTGGCCCAGTTTCTTTCTGCAATGTCCCATTAAATATAGCACAAACACAGTAAACTTCTCAACTAGGAGAATTTCTTCAACCACCCTCTTACTCATCATCCCCCTCCCCTCATAAGAAAAAGAAAATGGAAAGCATAAGAAAGAAGAAACGGGTAAATATGAAAAGGGGGAGGGGAGGAGGGGAATCTTATTAACCATCTTATTTCAGTCTGCAGATTGAGACAGATGTCTCAAAGTGATGTATGTCACTTTAAACACTAAAGGTTTTCATTGGTTCAAAGGTCCTGGAATCGCCAAGCACAGAGTGTGTCATCAACATTCTGCTCTGGTTGCCAGTGGTCCTTGCCATGCTGGAATGCATTTTTTTTAGCTAGCGGCATCAGCAGTAACACAGATAGTATTACTCACAGAAGTAGAACAACACTCCGGCCTTCTGTCGTGGAGATGCTCCGTGCGGGAGGTGGACAATGCTGAATCCACCAGTAGGCTCACAGAAGTAGAAGAACACAGACAACACTCCAGGATCAAGAAGGTAAGTTTATTTCTGGATACACCACCTCATAAAGTGCAAAGTTTCATCTCAACAGAGCCTTAATCATGCACTTTAGGAGTTGCTGTATCAAGAAATAAACTTACCTTCCTGATCCTGGAGTGTTGCCTGTGTTTCTTCTACTTCTGTGAGCCTACTGGTGGATTCAGCGTTGTCCACCTTCTGCACGGAGCACCCTCCACGAAAGAAGGACAGAGCTTTCAGGCGGAATCTTTGTACAAGGTTTCTGACTAATTGTATTACTGCCATGCCATATCCTAGTTCAGGCATAGGCAACCTTTGGCACTCCAGATGTTTTGGACTACACTTCCCATGATGCTTTGCCAGCATTATGGGTGTAAGAGCATTATGGAGGATGTAGTCCACAACATCTGGAGTGCCGAAGGTTGCCTATCCCTAGTTTCTTACTGGTCAGTGCCGGCAGACATGCCTTCTTCTATATCACCACTTATTTTACATAGTTTAAACCTATTCTGTATTACTACAAAAACCATCAGATAATTTCTCATACTAAGTTAACATTTGTAGACCCGCATTGACTCATGACACAAACTGTTGAATATGGGTTACAAGTGGATCCACAGATTATTATTTTTTAATGCAATGCATTGTGTTGAAAGAGGGGATCTCTGCTCACTAGCCATAATTACGGACATGGTTATTCAGTAAAATGTGTTTTGTCAGGAATTCAAAGTGGATTTCACATTGAAGGACAATATAAAAATAAAGAAAAAATTCTCCAAATTGGCTATGATTTCTGTTTTAATCTATTCTTACCAAAACTTAGAATTTGCTTTAAATTGCTGACAATTTAATATTGAATAACCCGGATAGGATTTTGGTTAATAAACCATGAATTGTAGCGAGTCTGCTAAATTAAAGCTATAGGATAACTCAGTTCTGTTCTCAACTTTGCTACTTCATGCGTAGATTCAAATTTTCATTAAGCAAATTTACTGCTTAAAAAAAATAAACTCCAAATTGGCTCTCACCACGCAAGTGTTTTTTTGCTAACTTCTATTATAAACGTCTGAATATTTTAAAAACAAGCTATGTGTAGCGGAAATATACACTATTTAAACATAAGTTTAAGTAATTAAAGGTTATGAATTTGAGCCTTGCGTATCTCTGAAACATTACTTTGTATTAAGATTTGAATTTAGTTTTGTGCCAGCTAATGAGGAGAGTGAGATCAGAGCTACCGTGAGAGAGGATGCTATAGAACAGAGGTAAGCAACCTTTAGCACTCCAGATCTTGTGGACTACATCTCCCATAGTGCTAACAAAGTACCAGGGGAATGTAGTCCACAAGAGCTAGAGCGCCGACTGTTGCCTACACCTGCTATAGAATATCCCACTAAACAGAATGTATTCGCAGACAAACTGCAGTACTAGAGTCTCTACCACTGCAGGGGCTATTTGTTTTGTTTTTTTTATCAGTTTTGAACGGCTTTCTACATATCTCATCTCTACATATATATATATATATATATATATATATATATATATATATATATATATATATATATATATATATATATACACACACACACACACACACACACACACACACACACACACACACACACAGTTATTTACATCAAATCGGTTTGAAAACAACACTAGCCAAATTTTAAATTCTATTTCATTCGGATTTAAATTTGCTACGATTTGGAGTTTAGTAACTAAAAAATTATTTACAAATAAATAAAGTGCAGAACAACCTCTAAGATGTGTCTTCATCCAGACAGACGGTGGCCCGTGTTAATCAATAACACAAGTAAGTTGTTCCATAATAAAGAGCGATCCATCCAGCCGATATTATAAGATTTCCATTGTCGTAAGCACCAGGTGGATTTGTATGAGGAAGAGAAGACTTTGGGACAAAGAAGCTGGAATGCAAAAGGTAATCAGTTTTCTGTCATTACTAGTAGCCATGACTTGTTGTGAGCTTCCATTAAGCCTGTACATTGTACAGTCTCACATTGACAGTATCTTTCCACGATTGTCTTCATAGTGCTGCATCATCTCCTCCAAGTCCTTATCAGCGTCTATCACCTACACCATGAAATATGAAGCTAGAATTATAAATTATGAAAATAAAATTGCTCCTTTTCTTGAGTCATTAACAACAACAAAAAAACGTGCTGCACTTTGTGTGAAACAGACACGTCTCTGGAAATTACAACATTGAATAAAATGAAAATAACCTATCACTTCTAAACCACGGTAACCATTTTCACGTGATGCCCTGTTTACGTTTATTAAGATTTAGCAATTGACAGAATAGTCAGGTTCAGACCGGACACAGCCAAGGCACATACTGCATTGAAAGAGGACAAACGGTTTCCTTTTTGCACCTCCAGACAGGGGACAGACAGGGAACCAAGATGGAGGTATGCCATTCTGGAATTTCTACATTTAATTTTATGTTTCAGGCCTCACAAACATCTGTTGACAGTTCATGTTTACACAGCAAAACATTCATATTTTGATATCAATACTGGGATGAAATGTTTGTTTATATATCTCTTAACTGCAAGCAGCTAGTTGTAGGTGATTGGGCATACCCACAATGCAATGTCTGTGGCCAACAGCATTCTATTGTGGGACGACAAAAAAAAAAGTAATATTGGGGAAGGTAATGCTTACACAACCCATTCACAGACAGAGCAGGAAACATTGGATCCATATATTTTGTACCAAGTATTTTAACAATATATATTCACAATTAACATTAGATACTATTAGATGGTGGACACATAATACTAGGGGGCAGGGCTGCCATCAGAAATTTTAGGGCCCCTGACACAGCTCAAGATCTGGGCTGCCGGGGCCAGCCCCAAGTCAGCCCTCAAGGATGAAGTGTGTGTGTGTGTGTATAGTGGATGTAGAATGTGTGTCATGGATGCAGTGTGTATAGTGGATGTAGAATGTGTGTCATGGATGCAGTGTGTTTAGTGGATGCAGATTGTACGTTTGTGTAATTAATGTAATGTTTGTATGCATGGATTAGATGCAGAGTGTGTGTGTGTAGTGAATGCTGAGTGTATTTTTGTAGTGGATGTAGTGTGATTGTAGTGAATGCAAAGTGTGTATAGTGAATGTAGTGTGTAGTGGGTGCAAAGTCTGTATAGTGGTATAGTGCATGTAGTGTGTGTGTAGTGAGTGCAAAGTCTGTATAGTGCATGTAGTGTGATTGTAGTGAATGCAAATTGTGTATAGTGAATGTAGTGTGATTGTGGTGAATGCAAAATGTGTATAGTGAATGTAGTGTGATTGTGGTGAATGCAGATTGTGTGTAGTGAGTGCAAAGTGTGTTTAGTAAATGTAGTGTGTTTGTAATGATTGCAACGTGTGTGTAGTAAATGTAGTGTGTGCAAAGTCTGTATAGTGCACGTAGTGTGAATGTAAAATGTGTATAGTGAATGTAATGTGATTGTGGTGAATGCAGAGTGTGTGTTGTGAATGTAGTGTGTTTGTAGTGAGTGCAACGTGTGTTTAGTGAATGTAGTGTGTATGTGTAGTGCAAAGTGTGTCTAGTAAATGCAGTGTTTGTATGTGTAGTGCAAAGTGTGTTTAGTAAATGTAGTGTTTGTAGTGAGTGCAACATGTGCATAGTGAATGGAGTGTGTGTAGTGCAGAGTGTGTTTAGTGAATGTAGTGTGTTTGTAATGAGTGCAACATGTGTATAGTGAATGTAGTGTGTTTGTAGTGAGTGCAACATGTGTATAGTGAATGTAGTGTGTTTGTAGTGAGTTCCATTTCTGTATAGTGTGAATGTAAAATGTGTATAGTGAATGCAGTGTGATTGTGGTGAATGTAATGTGATTGTGGTGAATGCAGAGTGTGTTTGTAGTGAGTGCAAAGTGTGTTTAGTAAATGTAGTGTGTTTGTAGTGAGTGCAACGTGTGTTTAGTGAATGTAGTGTGTGTATGTGTAGTGCAAAGTGTGTTTAGTAAATTTAGTGTTTGTAGTGAGTGCAACATGTGCATAGTGAATGTAGTGTGTGTGAGTAGTGCAGAGTGTGTTTAGTAAATGTAGTGTGTTTGTAGTGAGTGCAGAGTGTGTTTAGTGAATGTAGTGTGTGTGTGTAGTGCAGAGTGTGTTTAGTAAATGTAGTGTTTGTAGTGAGTGCAACATGTGCATAGTTAATGTAGTGTGTGTGAGTTGTGCAGAGTGTGTTTAGTAAATGTAGTGTGTTTGTAGTGAGTGCAGAGTGTGTGTGTAGTGCAGAGTGTGTTTAGTAAATGTAGCTTGTTTGTAGTGAGTGCAACATGTGCATAGTGACTGTAGTGTGTGTGAGTAGTGCAGAGTGTGCTTAGTAAATGTAGTGTGTTTGTAGTGAGTGCAGAGTGTGTTTAGTGAATGTAGTGTGTGTGTGTAGTGCAGAGTGTGTTTAGTGAATGTAGTGTGTGTAAAATAGGAGGGAAGGGAGTATTTATTTTTATTTATTTGTGTATATTTTAATTGTATTCCCCCCTCCCTGGTTCTTACCCTTCCAGGGAGGGGGGGAGATCGCATTCCCTGGTGGTCCAGTGGCATGGTGGAGAGAGCCAGACACGGTACATTGGGGGGCCCAGCAGCACACACTGTCTTCCTTTCCAGCTCCTCTCTGACGAACTCTTGCGAGACCAGCCTGCGTGCTGTGTAGAGCGTTGCTATGGTAACCCGTGGCAACGCTCTGGCGGCCGCTAGAAAAGAGAGCAGCTGGAAAGGAAGACAAAGCGTGCTGCTGGGCCCCTCTGCAATGTACAGGTAGGGGGGCCTACAGTGCATATATATAGCGAAAAATCGTTATATATATGTGCACATAAGGAATGTGGGGCTTGGACTGCCAGAGTAGTTCGAGCCCCCCAGGACTGCTGGGCCCATGACAACCGTTATGGTTGTCATGCCCTGATGGCGGCCCTGCTAGTGGCTACTAGGAAAGACAGCACATTGTGGGCACTCCCTGGGCCTGCTGAAATTAATGTGCCTGCTCCTACCAGATGTGACACATTACAATGGGTTAAGGACCAATTCCGAATCCTGATTTAACCAAAAACTCCACAGCTGGAGATTACAATTAAAGTGTGCCCTTACATGCTGTGCGTGGCAAAACTAGATATATTCATACATATCCATAAGGACAAAAAAAAAAAAATAATGTACCAGTACAGTTGCTGGGACCGAAAACAAGCCATTCTTCTTGATCAGCCATTCTTCGTAGAGATTATGGAGTGCATTCAAATATTCCTAAAACAAATGAAAATATAACAAGGGAGGTATTTAGTATACAGTCACATCCAATGAACTGACAACCAGTGGCACAATTTAGGTGAAAAGAATTGCTGAATATAGCACAACTCAATAATTAAAGGGGCACCTTTAAATCAGTGGTCATGTTGCTTGGTACCTGTGTGTACAGACATACATACATACATACAGGTGCACCAAAATTAATAGGACTTTATAGCCCATTTCTAAATTTGAGATGGAGCGCAAGAGCTTCCCCCAAACAGGAGCTTTAATTATGGAGTAAAAGTCCAACCACGGGCAATGGTCAACTTCTGTAATTCTTTGCGCCAGATACATCAGCACATCGCTAATAACAACAGATTTGACCAGCAAATGGAAAAAAGGTGGTATGCACTTGATAAAATGGATAGATTACCGAGGAAGAACTATCCCCCAAATCACCAGGCCAAGTGGGAAAGACTTGTTGGAGGAAGAAATATGCACAGTTTTCACCATACCAGGCACATACCCAAAGATGGAGGGCAGCTTGGAAGATCACAACAATTTAGAGAAGACAACACCAAGCTTGATCACTGGCAAGGAAGTAAAACTAAGGCAAATGAAAGGCCAGTGATTCAAGTTGGAAAACGCAAAAGATGCCGGGAATGTAAGCTCATCTGGGCAGAGCCCTCTTCAAATACTTTTCCTGTATGCCAAACATGCTTTGTTAGAATTGTTTGTCTTGTTTTACCTGTTACCCAAAGATGGCAGGCAGCTTGGAAAACACCAACAATTAAGAGAGGACAGCACCAAACTTGATCACTGGCAAGAAAGTAACAGGAGCCAAGGGGAGCCTATCAAAACTAGGGCAAAGGAAAGGCCAGTGTTTCGAGGTGGAAAACGCAAAAGATGCTGGGAAGGTAAGCTCGTCTGGGCAGGGTCCTCTTCAAATACGTTTCCAGTAAGCCAAACATGTTTTGTTAGAATTGTTTGTCTTGTTTTACCTTTTGTACAGAGCTGCGGAATATGTTGACACTGTATAAATAATTGTAATTTTATCCGAAGGTCACACAGCTGAGGAAGGAGAAGGTTTGAACAACAAAAAAAAACGGGGTGCAGAAACAGAGTACATTGTTCCTAGAATGACATTAGAAGAACTAGATAAGAAGCCGGCAGAATACACAAAAAGTGCTCAAATACCACCAGTTCAACCAATGGGCATCAACTATCCCAGCATTCGAGGCTCAATGGGCATCAACCCTCCCAACATTCAAGGCTCAATGGGAATCAACCCTCCCAGCATTCAAGGCTCAATGGGAATCAACCCTCCCAACATTCAATGCTCAATGGGAATCAACCCTCCCAGCATTCAAGGCTCAATGGGCATCAACCTTCCCAGCTTTCAAGGCTCAATGGGCATCAACCCTCCCAACATTCGGCTCAATGGGCATCAACCCTCCCAACATTCAAGGCTCAATGGGCATCAACCTTCCCAGCTTTCAAGAATCATCAGTTGAAGACATGGAAGTAGACTAGCCAATTGGGGGAACAGGACCGGCAGGCAACATGTGAGGACAGCGTGTGGCAGTTGGAAAGGGAGGCATGGTGGTGGCCGTCCACTCTGCACCTCTCCTGGGTAGTCCGCAGCCCCGAAAGCCTCGTACTCCCTCCAGTGGAGCCCAAAACTCCCAATCTCAGGGTCTGCTACCTCTGCCACAGCCGCATGAGTATCTCTCAGGTTTGTTTTGGATTAAATGCTTTCATTTGTAGCCTAAGAGCCTCTCTTGCATGCAACTGGTCAGCATGGTGGTCCGGCCCCGCCCCCAATAGATAATGAATTTGAAACTACAGATGTCATTAAGCAATAAATGTTATAAACAATATATATGGTTGTGTTTCTCATCAGTCCATTCTTTTATCTACACATATTACTGTATGGGTTGAAGTGGTGTTTTGGTGCCTCATTTCCAAAAATTAAGCTATGGGAAAGTGGCTGCCATTCTTTTATATGATGCCACTAAATAAGATTGGTGGCTTCCAAGAATCCCGAGAAGGATAGAACTGGCGTTCCTATTAGAATTTTTTTTTTTTTTTTTTAAAAGAGGCGTTGCATTTATCTTTGCAAAAAATGTTTCCTTAATTATTAAACATCAAGAACTAGATCCAGAAGGCAGATATTATTTTAATTTATGAAATTAATAATAAGCTATTCATATTAGCCAATATTTATGCACCAAATAAAGCTACAATAAACTTCATATCAAAAGTGCTTAAAAAAATAGAGAAGATCAAACAAGGGTTGATATTAATTATGAGAGACTTCAATTGTGTAGCTACTCCACTAAAGGACAGAAAGAGCCAGAACGATAGGAAAGGAAAATAGATGATACCAGACTGCAAAACTTACTGAACAATCATAATCTAAGATGTATGGAGAGCATTTCACCCTGCCGATCTAGACTACACATGCTATTCGAAAACATTCAACTCATATTCCAGAATAGACTTTGTCTTGGGAAACGTCACCATGTTATACCTTGTTAAAAAAAATAGAGATACACGATATAGCATGGTCAGACCATAGCCCTATCATGTTGAAATACAAAGATAACTTTGAGAATTTTTGTAGAGTGGCGCATTAAAGATTTCATATTACATAAAAAAATAATGTGGAAGAAATTTAAATAATAACAAATCTCTTTAAATAAAAAAACAAAGCTACACTGGGCATTATGGTCTGGTGCATTAATAATAAAAGTGTAGTAAGGTCATTTGATAAAAATGGCAGCCATTGAAAATAAAAAAGATCTACCACCTCCATACAAATAGCAAGTAAGATTGTAAAAATAGAAAAACAGATCAACAACCAATTAATGAACAAAGCATCTAAACAACTAGAAGCACTGCAAGCTAAATGGTACCTAAAAGGCAATAAACTAGAAACAATGTCTAATAAACTGAAAAAAGATAAACATAAAAAAGTAATATATAAAATAAAAGATATGGATACCTACTTAATGGCCCCAGAAAAAAATAGGTCTAGCATTTGAAAGATTTTATCACAATCTATATGGCTTACCAGGAAAAACATTTGGCAAAGAAAAAGAGATCGAGAAATTCTTCGAAAATCTGTCCATGCCAAAAATTCGACCCGACCAATTAAGACTGATAAATCAGCCCATAACAGAACTAGAAGTTACTAAATCTATAGAGAAACTTAAAACAAAGACTGCACCAGGCCCAGATGGATTTACAAACAAATTCTACAAGTTAATGAAAGATCAATTAAAAGGGGAACTAACTAATATTTTTTAACTATATAATGGGAACAGGAGACTGTCCTGGAGAGCTGCTGAGAGCGAACATTGTTCCCATCCCAAAAGCAGATAAAGATTTAGATTAAATCACCAACTATAGACCTATATCATTAATACATACAGATATTCAAATACTATCTTCTATTCTTGCTGATAGACTAGAAATACAGGCATGGAAGAGACACATAAGGGGACTAGGGACAGATACTTAAGAAGGACTTTTTTAATAGATAGTTTTTTTAATGAATAACCTTGTTACAATTTTTTTTTTCCCTTTAACTGATATGGAGTTTGCCATCCACACATATTGAGATCCATCGAGTACATTTTACACATGTATCATTCCTTAAAAGAACATCTTACCAGCGGTACAACCTTTTCTTCTTCTCTACATCTCTTCTTCAACCTCTCATAACAGGTTTCAGGCGATGTCCTGAGATAAACTGTAGGGAAGATGACTTATTAGCACTTGTTTCAAGATCTCAGAACATAAGATCGGCAATTTTATCAGATAGACTGTATATGTTTTCACATTTTCCCCCATTTCCAGTTGTCAACATTTTTAAACATTTACATCAGTTGGCTTTCTTTAAAAGGATGTAAAGGACCCTCTAGTCTCACCCGAAAAACAACAATTCAGCAATATAAAACAACCAAAAAGATTCAGCACTCCTCTTTACAAGCCTTAATAAAAAAATGTAAAAATTAAAAAAAAAACAGCTAGAAGGTCAGAATATCGCCACTGAGGAGTCACAGTAAAATAGTGCTTGCTGTAAAAAGGATTGCTGGAAAGTCATGTTTTGAGCTTCAAGAATTTGTTTTACCACAAGAACAAAGAAAAGGGAAAAAACAGCAATTTTAACACATATTGGAAAAAAGTGTAATATTTCTATGTTGTTTGTAACATACACTAAGTATTATTGATCACGCAGAACCATAGAATGTGACGGCAGATAAGAACCATTCGGACAATCTAGTCTGCCCAATTTAGATAGATAAAACACATTCCCAGTGCGTTCCCTTTATCTCAAGGCTTATTTTACAATCTTTATAAAAAGAAAGTGAAATCGACTTTCACCATATTTATAAATTCAGAACAAAGCAAGATAACGAGATAAACAGGATACTTGTTTTCCCCAACAGTTCACCATTATTATAACCCTTTCATGACAGCAATGCTCTATATTTATATCGTGCAAGAAGAAATTAATGCAGCATGTTCCTTTAAGGATTTTTGTCTTCAAAGGCAAGTGACCGTTTAGTTAAGGAAGTTCTGAAACCACCGATTTTGCGCTCAGATGGGAGAATCTTACTGTCCTGGGTTAAGAGGGAGATGAATAAATCAGAATATTGTCCGGACATGGGCCTGGTGTATATCTAAAGGAAAAACGTTATGCCATGATCTGTTGTATATATTAATAAAAGTTAGCTTTCAAAGTTATAATGGCCATAGCCCAGTAGGTTAAATGATACAAAGGGTTATTCACTTAACCCCTTAAGGACCAAACTTCTGGAATAAAAGGGAATCATGACATGTCACACATGTCATGTGTCCTTAAGGGGTTAAAGGGTCACTCCAGACCCCTAAGCAACTTTAGCTTGCTGAAAAGCTTTATGTGTGAAGAGTGGATCCTCTTTTTTTCATTTTGCAAAAAGTGCAGATTTCCTTGGCTTAGAAGCAGACAACAGGTAATGTTACTTCCTTGGCTTAGAAGCAGACAACAGGTAATGTTCCGTCCTTGGCTTGGAAGCAGACAACAGGTAATGTTTCATTAGCTCAATACAGCTGACCTCAAGAGGCAGCAATTGCCCAGAGCACCTGACTTAGAAAGACGTCTCATTGAGCTGTATTGGTAAGTCTGTGATTGGAAAGCCACAGAAAGTCTGGGCAGGGTTGCAAAGGCGGCAGACGAGAACTGCATGTTTTGCAAGCTCATTTTAGATATATACCCAATAAAAAAATGCATAATTAAATGCATGTAAGTTTTCATTTGGGTATATCTACTAGACACTGATTGTTATTTATTTTGTATTTGGGCAAAGGAGTGTCCCTTTAAGTGTGAATTGTCCGGAATACAAAGTGAGCTTCCAATGGTCACAACACATGGACCAAATACAGTTGACTTGGAAGCTTTTTTAAATTTTGGCTGTTCTGGCCTCAAATATAAAAACTTACATTGAATTCATAGCAGATCACATTTTAGTGATTTAGGCTTTTAATCCCTCCTCCTAGCTCTTGTGATGATCTTAGAAAATATAGAAGTACAATAAAACCATACACATTTCAGTGAGCGGAGGTCAGTGCCCCTCCTCTATGCAGTGTATATCAGGCTACTACTTGTGCTCTATGCAGATTGACAAACACAAAAAAAAATTAAAACAAAACTTTATTGTCCACTTTAACTTCCCTTATAATGGAACGATGTATTATAGGAATGTTTCTCTGTTTACTAGTATCAGTTATTTCAAAGCCAATACCAAGGCATCTTCATCATATTTAAACTTCCTTTACAATATTTCAAGGGTTAATCGAACAATCTAGAAATCAGAAGCGCAACAGTACACTGCAGTGGTTATAGTGCTTGGAGTTCCAGGGGCATCGGCTTCCAATAATCTGTTAAACCATTTAGGAACTGTTTGACACTCACCCTGGTCTGCTGAAGTGCAAGGTAATACTTCCACAATATCATACCATACCATGGTAAGGTGGCCAATTAATACGGTTTCATCCTGGTATGCACCTGTATGATAATGCTGAGGTTTGACTTTCCACTTTATCAGATCAACTCAGGTGGGAAGGAACTAAATAAAGTGTAGAAATGTTCACAATCGTTACCATCAAATGGTCCCACCAGACTCCTGGCACCACAACCACTTCGGCGCACTGTAGCAGCTCTGTTATGCAGCCTAGAGTGGCTCTTCAATGTAATCAAATTCCATCCGATTTTATGGTTTGTCTTATGTTAGGTGTGTCCGGATGCATCTACATTTCAATATAGAACTACATTAATACATTTTGTTAGATTCAGACTTGTAAACCACAGAGGAAATCTCTACTTGTACAAAGATGAACCAACACAGGAAATGAGCAAACATTTTGGAACTGATAAGGAATCACTGTGGGTTAATTTAGCACTTCTCACAGGGGGTTTTTCCAGTTTTGGCAAGAACAGCCAAACTGTGCATTTGTGAATTGTGTAATAATATTTGAAATTCACATTAAATTTGTGACAAATCATTCACTAGTGAATAACCGTGATTATGTGGAATTTACTGAATAAAGCTTGTTAATGTGTCAGTTTACATACTATGCTCTCATCAAACCCTGATAAATATCAATGAGGTCCTGAGCAGACTGTGAAGCAATTAAAGAAAAAACAAAAAACCTCACCCACAAAGATAATAAGTTAACATGATAGTCACTAATAAAACATGAACTGTTCATCTGAATTATACCTATTAGGTCAACCGAGAGGTCAATGTTCTTTGTAATCCACTCAAACCACTCTGTTAAAACCGCATAATCCACTTCAGGCATCTTCCCACTACAAAATACACAAAGCACATTAATGGAGAGGTCATTCACTGCACAGTAGGAGCAAAATCCATTTAACAATTCATGGCAAGGCTTAAAATATAAAGTTCTATGCTACTAGCCAGCTCTTAAAATTGGCACCCACGGCAAGCCATAGCATACTCACTAGGGGTACATTTTGTCCAATTGTGTAATTAATTTTATAAAAACCGGGGCTGCCCCAGTACCTGAAGTCTGGTCCGTCTCCTGCCGGCTGCCACAGTCACAATGTGAAAGTTTCACTTCCACATTATCTAAACAAATTAAACCAGTTTGGACAGCAATCATATACTGTGAGCTTTGGGTGAACTCGTATAAGAGGCCTCCTTTTAAAAATCTTGTACGTAACTGGAAGGTTCTATTCATTTAGTGGAAACAAGGCAATACATAGCTGTCAGTGCTGAGTACGTAGGTGTTAGCCCGAGGAAAAACCCAGTCAAAGTACCAATACGGATGAGGTAGAGACGTTGTCAGGATAGCAAAGGGTCAGGGCAGGACGTACAGGTTCACAAACAGCGGTCATGCCAAAGGTCAGATGTCAGGCAGACCATATAGGAGATTAGGAGCAAAACAGGGTACAACTTGATGGAACAAGGAGCACAGTATTACTGAACAGTGAGAGCAAGCTATTTATAGGATAAAGGGGGTACCATGCGCATCATGCCGGCATCACTGGCAGTAACCACCCACTTCCACTTTAAGATGCACCTGACCAAATGAGTGATGAGTGTGGAGGAACAGATTTCAACCACCAGAGGAACATCCAGCGCCGAGAGATGCAATCAAGCCCACACCCGTCTGGCACCTTGCAGGGAGAGAGGGGGCACAGAGAATTGGAGCGTGAGGGGAGTGCTGAGTGGAGAGGGGTCCTGATAGTAGGCTATAATTTGTTGTCATAGAGACACGACAGACCAAATTGATGAGTGCATTGTTCCTTACAAAGTTATATCTCATAAAAAAAATTGAAAATGTTATTCTAAAGATGCGGAGCTCAATATATATATATATATATATATATATATTTAAAAAAAGGCTAAATAAATGGCAGCGCTCGCATTAGGACTTCCTATGGGGTTTCAGGTGACGCTGAATGTCCTCATGCATAGCGACCCGGAAGTCCCTCTAGTGGCTGTCTAGAGTTGGTGTTAACCCTCAAAAGGTAATTATTGCAGATTATTAAAAACTGCAATAATTTCCATTGCAGGGTTAAGGGATCTGGGACTATGCACCCAGACCACTTCAATGAGTTAAAGTGTTCTGGGTGCCTATAGTGTCCCTTTAACAGGGCTCGTAAGTGATTTTCATTGTTTTATTCAATATGGTAAATTCAAGGGAAGGGATGGATGCCTTTTAATGTGCCACACAATGTGCTTTTAGAGAAGATAGAATGTGCCATAGGTAAAGATCAACCCACACCTAGTCTAAATATAGGTTAACCATAGCATTTAACCTATACATTGTACAAATACAAAATAATTTGAAAACATTTTCTCTTCCATTCAATTAGCCTTGTTATAAAACAGCAATAAACACTGCCATAGTGGTTGGGATACAATCTGCTTTACTCCACCTCTTCTTAAAAAGGGAAACGCTGAGCACCAAAACCACGACAGATCTAAGTAACAGTAACAGTAACAGATGCACAAACACTAGTAATATCATCCCATTTTTTTTCTTAAAGGACCACTATCGTGCCAGGAAAACATACTTTTTTTCATGGCTCTATAGGGTCCTTGGGACCCCCTCACCCTCTGGGTCTCCCCCCCTGCCAGGCTCTCTCCTATTCACACTGGCAACTTCTCACTGTGAAAATCACAGTGAGAAGCGCGGAAGCGCCTCTAGTGGCTGTCAATGAGACAGCCACTACAGGCTGGATTAACCCATAGGTAAACATAGCAGTTACTCTGAAACTGCTATGTTTACAGCTGCAGGGTTAAACCTAGAGGGACCTGGCACCCAGACCACTTCATTAAGCTGAAGTGGTCTGGGTGCCTATAGTGGTCCTTTAAACTGTTCAAGAGCAGTATCAGAAAAACACAAGCTTACAGACAGCCTGGTATCCAGCCCACTAAATGATGTGGTATTTACACTTCTACATTACAAATATAAATTCTCTTAAATATGGACAGCAGTGTTAGGCTGAGCACAGTGGGCGAACATTGTCGCCAGCACTGTCAGCCAGTCATTGAAATCCATGTTGCACAGAATTTATACTGGTCATGTGGAATAAGGCGTAATCAAGAGGGAGCAGTCTATAAGTGCCTGGGAAATGGGTTTTGGCAAATATATCCAAAACAAATTGGCAAAAAAAAGAATGTGAAACAAGGGACAGTACTTAGAGAATCTTTGGATCATGAACACTACACTGAGCTTTAGTACTTATGGTGCACAGACCAGAAGACTTCAGGTAATTGTATCGTTCTATAAGCAGATTTGCCAGAAATGTTCTCCCTGGCTAAAATGGAAGCAGTACCTAGTTCGTTTAATACTATATAGACTAGTTGTGGATATTCTCTGTGCTACACCGGTGACCCCTGGTGGTTAAACTCACAGAATCTGAAATACAGAAGCTGACGTGATAGTACAAACAAGCTGCTGTAAAATAATGTCTGTATAATATCTTCAAGTTGTGTATAACCTGTTTTAAATTATTTTTTATTAAATATTTAAACCAAAACTTATGAAAGTCACTATTTTAAGAGTCTCTGTGGCACACGCCACATGTACAAGAGTCTCTCCATTAATAACACCGAAGATAATGCCTCTCTACTTTGTATAACAAAGCCGGGTCCCCCCCATACCTTGAACCCTGCCAGTAACCAACCTTATACCTTGAACCCTGCCATTAATCCACTGCGTCCTACCATCCTTGCCAGTAACCCACCCTATACCATAAACCCTGCCAGTAACCCACTCCATACCACAATCCCTGCCATTAATCCACTGCGTCCTACCATCCTTGACAGTAACCCACCCTATACCTTGAACCCTGCCAGTAACCCACCCTATACCTTGAACCCTGCCAGTAACCCACCCCATACCACAATCCTGCCATTAATCCACTGCGTCCTACCATCCTTGCCAGTAACCCACCCTATACCATAAACCCTGCCAGTAACCCACCCCATACCTCAATCCTGCCATTAATCCACTGCGTCCTACCATCCTTGACAGTAACCCACCCCATACCTTGAACCCTGCCAGTAACCCACCCCATACCTCAATCCTGCCATTAATCCACTGCGTCCTACCATCCTTGCCAGTAACCCACCCTATACCATAAACCCTGCCACCCCATACCTCAATCCTGCCATTAATCCACTGCGTCCTACCATCCTTGACAGTAACCCACCCCATACCTTGAACCCTGCCAGTAACCCACCCCATACCTCAATCCTGCCATTAATCCACTGTGTCCTACCATCCTTGCCAGTAACCCACCCTATACCTTGAACCCTGCCAGTAACCCACCCCATACCTCAATCCTGCCATTAATCCACTGCGTCCTACCATCCTTGACAGTAACCCACCCCATACCTTGAACCCTGCCAGTAACCCACCCCATACCTCAATCCTGCCATTAATCCACTGTGTCCTACCATCCTTGCCAGTAACCCACCCTATACCTTGAACCCTGCCAGTAACTCCACCCCATACCTTGAACCCTGCCAGTAACCCCACCCCATACCTCAATCCCTGCCATTAATCCACTGCGCCCTACCATCCTTGACAGTACCCACCCATACCTTGAACCTGCCAGTAACCCACCCCATACCTCAATCCTGCCATTAATCCACTTTCGTCCCTACCATCCTTGACAGTAACCCACCCACATACGAACCCTGCCAGTAACCAACCCATACCACAATCCTGCGCATTTAATCCCATAAGTCTACCATCCTTGACAGTAACTCCACCCTATACCTTGAACCCTGCCAGTAACCCACCCTATACCTTGAACCCTGCCAGTAACCAACCCCATACCACAATCCCTGCCATTAATCCACTGTGTCCTACCATCCTTGCCAGTAACCCACCCTATACCTTGAACCCTGCCAGTAACCCACCCCATACCTCAATCCTGCCATTAATCCACTGCGTCCTACCATCCTTGACAGTAACCCACCCCATACCTTGAACCCTGCCAGTAACCCACCCCATACCTCAATCCTGCCATTAATCCACTGTGTCCTACCATGCTTGACAGTAACCCACCCTATACCTTGAACCCTGCCAGTAACCCACCCCATACCACAATCCCTGCCATTAATCCACTGCGTCCTACCATCCTTGCCAGTAACCCACCCTATACCATAAACCCTGCCAGTAACCCACCCCATACCACAATCCTGCCATTAATCCACTGCGTCCTACCATCCTTGCCAGTAACCCACCCTATACCATAAACCCTGCCAGTAACCCACCCCATACCTCAATCCTGCCATTAATCCACTGTGTCCTACCATGCTTGCCAGTAACCCACCCTATACCTTGAACCCTGCCAGTAACCCACCCTATACCATAAACCCTGGCAGTAACCCACCCCATACCTCAATCCTGCTATTAATCCACTGTGTCCTACCATGCTTGACAGTAACCCACCCTATACCTTGAATCCTGCCAGTAACCCACCCCATACCACAATCCTGCCATTAATCCACTGCATCCTACCATCCTTGCCAGTAACCCACCCTATACCTTGAACCCTGCCAGTAACCCACCCCATACCTCAATCCTGCCATTAATCCACTGCGTCCTACCATCCTTGACAGTAACCCACCCTATACCTTGAACCCTGCCAGTAACCCACCCCATACCTCAATCCTGCCATTAATCCACTGCGTCCTACCATCCTTGACAGTAACCCACCCCATACCTTGAACCCTGCCAGTAACCCACCCCATACCTCAATCCTGCCATTAATCCACTGCGTCCTACCATCCTTGCCAGTAACCCACCCTATACCATAAACCCTGCCACCCCATACCTCAATCCTGCCATTAATCCACTGCGTCCTACCATCCTTGACAGTAACCCACCCCATACCTTGAACCCTGCCAGTAACCCACCCCATACCTCAATCCTGCCATTAATCCACTGCGTCCTACCATCCTTGCCAGTAACCCACCCTATACCATAAACCCTGCCAGTAACCCACCCCATACCTCAATCCTGCCATTAATCCACTGCGTCCTACCATCCTTGACAGTAACCCACCCTATACCTTGAACCCTGCCAGTAACCAACCCCATACCACAATCCCTGCCATTAATCCACTGTGTCCTACCATCCTTGCCAGTAACCCACCCTATACCTTGAACCCTGCCAGTAACCCACCCCATACCTCAATCCTGCCATTAATCCACTGCGTCCTACCATCCTTGCCAGTAACCCACCCTATACCTTGAACCCTGCCAGTAACCCACCCTATACCTTGAACCCTGCCAGTAACCCACCCCATACCTCAATCCTGCCATTAATCCACTGCGTCCTACCATCCTTGACAGTAACCCACCCTATACCTTGAACCCTGGCAGTAACCCACCCCATTCCTTGAACCCTGCCAGTAACCCACCCCGTACCACAATCCCTGCCATTATTCCACTGCGTCCTACCATCCTTGCCAGTAACAGACGCCATGCCACGACCCCTGCCAGTAAGCCACTTCCTATCATGCCAGGCTCCTCTCTCCAAGTCATGAACCCTGCCAGTCTCCCTTTACTCAAAACAAATCTTCACATTAAAGGCTGGCAGGGGTTCTGCTAACTCAGGGACCATTCAATAGACCACAGCAAGTTCTAAACACAGCTCCCAGCAGCCCGCAGAGTAATAATATAGGAGATAACTGTGCTTAGAACACAGCTCTATGTGGGATACGAGGTGGCAAGCACATTTTATGCCTGGCTAGTAGTGTACAACTTGAAATTGTGACCACTGGGAGATTTATCCATCTATATATAAAATATATGATACCAATTTCTAGATCTGTAATTTTTAAATGTTAAACCCTTTGTATCTTAATGATTATACCCTCACTCATTACTACTTTTATCCTTTATTTATATTCATGATTTTTTTCTTCCTTGCGCCTCAATATCGGGGCGCCGCAATTTTGTTTATTTGAGGTCTGCCGTTTGCCTTCTGTGGGATTCTGTTCACTGAAGGATTGTGGGTAAATCAGCGTAGCAGCTGAAACAGAACTTTAAGCTCCGCCCATTGCCAAAGATTGACAGAATTGACGCTCCCCATAAGAAAAAAAAAATAAATAAAAATAGTCTCTGCATTATCTTATGTATAATAAAAAAATATATATAAAGTGAATTTCAAAATATAAAAACCAGGGAAAAAACCCCAAAAACCTTGCACATTGACAGTTTTGCTTTAAAAGGTCCCACAACATATAGAAATATATATAGAAAAGTAATACTGTACCTACGATACAGATTTTCCACAAATATATATTTGGCACTGTAAATGGATCGTTCCATCATTTTAACAGGGCAGGTCTGAAAAAAAAATGCAGGTGTATAAATTAATTTATGCCTGGGGCCGATCACTTTCAAAATACATTGCTATAGTATCAGGCATTCGAAATGGCTGCCAGTGTCAAAAGTTTACTTGTTACCTATAGTTTAATTGAATGCACTAAAATCTTCTGCCAGTGAATGCTAGAGCAAAAGTATTTCAATTATTTATGAAAATGTGAATTTTTATAATGTTTTAGTATGAAGCTACTGAATCCTAGGCAGAGTCTTATTTTTTTTTTTTTTTTTTTAACTGGCTGTGGTTATAAGCGGTTGTGAGCACAGTCACAGTGGCAGGGGCCCTCCTTGCTCCATAACCTATTCAATAAGCATAAAAGTAAATTATTTAAGCATTCTATGTCTCTTTGACTTTCTTACATGAATCATTAATACTAATTTGATATAATCAGTCTGCAGTGAACTGTAACTGTCATGTGACAATGCAACCATTTTCTTGGTAGAGCGGCCATTGGGTCACATTTTTTTTTTGCTGTCAAAAATGTTTTCCCCTAGTTTCACAGAATACAATTAGTGTTCTCTATTTAATAAATTCAATTGTATATAAACTGTTCCCTTAATAATCCTTAGTACAGAGGCAAGATAAAGTTTACATAATTCAATATTATTGTAGTAATTTGACCTATATTGTGATAGTTTCTTATTTAAAAGGAATAATTTATGCCTCAATTGAATCCCATCCATAAATAAATACAAAACACCTTGCCTCCTGTAATCAGACTCCCTTCACCCCCTTGGGAAAATTGTTATCACACTAGTGTGACAGTTACATCTGGCTTAAAGGGACACTATAGTCACCTGAACAACTTTAGCTTAATGAAGCAGTTTTGGTGTATAGAACTTGCCCCTGCAGGCTCACTGCTCAATCCTCTGCCATTTATGAGTTAAATCCCTTTGTTTATGAACCCTAGTCACACCTCCCTGCATGTGACTTGCACAGCCTTCCATAAACACTTCCTGTAAAGAGAGCCCTATTTAGGCTTTCTTTATTGCAAGTTCTTTTCTGTAATTAAGATTTTCTTACTTTTCTGATTTTTTTTTCTATTGTGTTCCACAGATCTTCTCTACTAGAATACCGCAGGCTACCCTGTTGATCCCCCTCGGTATTTCCTATGAGAGTACAATTTATACAATTTATCATGTTAAAACTTACCGATGACCTGGTGTGATTATCCAGCATTGTTAATTGTACGTAGGTTTGTAACGTTAATCCCCACCTGCAGGGATCCTGATACATTAAAGCCTAAAGAATGGATAAAGAACACAGATAAGAACGTTTAAAATGTACATCCTTTTCAAAACTGCATCAAAGACACCAAATCTCTGCGCTAAGAAAAGTGGAGAGCTTCAACCATAACCCAAGAATCTTCAACCTCCTGATTTTACATCATGCCCTCTTATCTACCATTTCTTTAATTATTGAAAATGATGTCTCCTTAGGTTTATTTTTATTGTCTAATGTATCTGTAGCTATCACATCACTGGATTGTAATGTCAAATGCTAAATGTTTTATATATTTAATAGAAAACAGAGTATCACCTGATAAAATAAAATGTTTTACACAAATTAAAAGTGATTTTTAAAGTGTTATTTAATGGTGTAATTTTTAGAGAAATTACGGTTCCTCTCTAAATAGTATTATCATGCAAAATTCTGTGTGCCTTGCCTGCATAAAGCAGTTCATTTTCAGCCTTCACTCAGTCTCGACTAGTATTTGGGGGACCAGCTATACTCTCTGTAGGAGAGAATAATCACTTGGAGCTGCACCCAGGACCCTGTTCAAGGGCAGGAAGTTACAAAGAGATCCCAGCCAAGCTGAGGCGGCTATGGGCTGAAGCTCTACTAGTGTCCCAGTGATAGCTATGAAGCATGCTTGGCGGCGGTACCCTGCCGGGGTACAGGGAGCTCCGTCAAAATCACTCTCTTTTGAAAATGGTGAGAACGCAGATTAAAACCCCTATGAATACAAAGCCGGCACATTTCTTGTTTATCTGAATCACTTACCAGTGGGTTGTGACCCTGAACATTCCTCCATTTATCTACAGGCTCCTTCAAAACCTTAAAAAGAAACATACTTATTAGTAATAGTTTTTTAATTAAAGGCACACTTTTAGATTTCTCTTTACAGGAAGTGTTTAGGAAGGCTGCGTAAGTCACATGCGCAGAGGTGTTCCTAGGGCTGCATAAACAAAGTGATTTTAAGGAACACTATAGGGTCAAGAACACAAACATGTACCTACCTAATAGTGTTAAAAACATCATCTAGCCCATGTGATCCTTCTTACCCCTTTAAATATAGTAAAATCTTACTTTTATTCCAGTCTGCTGCTCTGACCCTGATCTGCTTGCTTGGCCGACATCATCAGAAGTGTTGATCAAAAGCAAATCACATCTGTCAAGGAGGCAGATCAGGGGCAAAGCCAGCACAAGCCAAACACAGCCCTGGTCAATAAGTATCTCCTCATAGAGCTGCATTGAATCAATGCATCTCTATAAGGAAAGTTCAGTGTCTTCATGCAGAGGGGAGAGACATTGAATAGCAGTGCTGCAAACTGCAGCACAGACCCAGGAAGCCCCTCTAGTAGCCATCTGTGGAGTTGCCAGTGGACTAGACTGTAATGTAAACACTGCATTTTCTCTAAAAAGACAGTGTTTACTACCTGAAGAGCATTAAGCTGTAGTTGTTCTGGTGACTATAGTGTCCTTTTAACTGCTAAACTGACGAGAATTGAGCACTGAGACTGCAGGGGCATGAATTATACACCAAAAATACTTCATTAAGCTATAGTGTCCCCTTAACTGTAAATGCATTAAAACAAATCTTCTCCTTGTCAGATTGCAGTGTGAAAGGTTTACACTTATTTGCCACAGCACCTGGGAGGGAAGATTTGGGTTCACCATTGACATTTTTAGGAGTCATTTCAATGATAAGTCTTCATTCACTTACCTCATTGAACTCTATTCAAAGTGTTTACTAGGGTAAGGTGTGCAGTAAAGGGTATGCAACAGTCACAGGGTTTTATAAAGATTTAATCTTTATAGAAAAACCCAAAAGTAACAATGGATTTGAACAGATCAGATTTAAGGAGGAACTTACTGCCTCCCTATAAGACGTACAATAAGGATTTTGCTATCTGGTTCCCCTCGTTTGATTATACTGAATTACAATCTTGAGCCTGTTCCCTGATATGCTACATGGCTGGCTCATACTGGAGGTGATCCCCCTTCCCTTTGGCAGTCTCCCAGCTTCGTCCACCTCCCTTCCTGCTCTCTATCAGTATTCTCTCCCTTTCTTCGCCAACCTCTCTTTCCATTTTCATTGTACCTTGCTTTTTATTCTTTCAATGCTTGTTTTAGAACGTTTTCCCTTATGGGTTCCTTTACCCAGTCATCAAAGTTTTACTCTTCCCTTTACCCTAAATTGAGACATTTATTTGTTTGAATTTCTTCAGAACCTCCCGTTAATTTTGGCCTATACTACTAACTCCTCAAGCTTTATACTGAAGTTTTATTTGTAACAATTGCTTATGCAGACGTGCATTTGTTTATAGTCACTGATATGTTAGGTTATTTGTATGTCTCCAGAAAACTATTTTAAATAAAGATTGTTTTTTTAAAAAAAAGTAACAGTGCCATTTCAAGGAAAGAATTTAACATTTGTTCAACCATAACCAATTAAATTATTATTTTCGAACAAATGTAAATTAGCACGGAAATGTTGCAGACAGTATGAAAGAATACCGCAAGGTTTTCTGTAGTTGAGAAATACTCCAAACAGCTGGTCTTCCCACTGGCAATGTTCCCTTCCACGCAGATCTGACAAAGAACAAATACAATATAATTGTTTTTTGTATAGAGTAAATATATTATCATGCTGCCATGTAGATATTCAGGTGTCTTGACTAAACAGAGAAATGCGGTACGTTTACAAACAACTACTTATAAAATGTCATACAATTTTTGTTGGGGGAAAAAAATTAAACAAAAATATCCACTACACTGAGAGGTTTGTCCACTAAACAGTGAACTTTAAACGGAATGGCACATTTTAGGTAAAAGAAGCAAAGATGAAAAAATAGTCCGCGTAAAATCGGAAAGTAGAATTAGTCAATGTAAGAAAATATTAAAGGCAGTGAAACATATGGTTAAAATACTAAACTACATGTGTGCTTCTGAACTGTAGCAAAACTGCAAGCCATAGGTATAGCCATAGTATAGCCCAAACAGCAAAGCATCCTGGGAGCTGCAACCACAACAGTGAGCTTTTGAGTATGTCTGGGTTATAAAGGTTGCAAATAATTTGGGGACAGGGAGTAAAAAAAACTCAAATATGGACCCACTGCTCCGTTGGGCAAAACTTTGGATTTTGCCAAAATGTCAGCCGGATTCATTATTTTATGTCAATATCTACACTGTTTCCAAATTTAACAATTAAGAACCTTTGGTATAGACAGATTTCTCTGCAATTATTATAACGATAATTAACATCACATGTCAGGAATCCTGTTTACTTACAGTTGTGCTTTTATTTCTATTGGTTAGAAAATTACCTATCAGAGAGAAAAAAAATCTATTAAATTACTAGCCAACTGCAACAGGTTGTTTAATTCCTTGAGGTTCGTAAACTAAACTGGAAATTGTAAAGACACTAGATTATTAAAAAAATTAAGACCAAATAGCGGAGACTGAAAATTGCAACAACAAAAAAATTCGGTTCGGATTTTTCTAATTTTTTTGGCCTAAATTTTGCCAATCAGTATCCAATTCCCTACAATTTGATGATTACTAAATAAAACTCAGTCATTACCAGATCATACTGTTCCCTATACATCCTAACTGCACCGATTTCCAGACATAGTCCCTAGTTTAACGTCTATCACAGTGTTTTCCTTTGCTAAGCAACTGGACAGCATTGTCCCAGTTCAGAATATGCATGTTATTGCGTATAATGACTTCCATCATGATTATAAGATTTAACAATTATTTGGATTTTTTTATGCATTAAAGGGGCTACCATAATATAGGCTAACAGTAAAGCCCCTTGGCTGACAGTCTATATACAGGTATAATTCTCCCTCCCCATGGCTGTGATGGTCTATATAGATATTATTCTCCCTCCCCATGGCTGTGATGGTCTATATAGATATTATTCTCCCTCCCCATGGCTGACATGGTCTATATAGATATTATTCTCCCTCCCCATGGCTGACATGGTCTATATAGATATTATTCTCCCTCCCCATGGCTGTGATGGTCTATATAGATATTATTCTCCCTCCCCATGGCTGTGATGGTCTATATAGATATTATTCTCCCTCCCCATGGCTGTGATGGTCTATATAGATATTATTCTCCCTCCCCGTGGCTGACATGGTCTATATAGATATTATTCTCCCTCCCATGGCTGACATGGTCTATATAGATATTATTCTCCCTCCCCGTGGCTGACATGGTCTATATAGATATTATTCTCCCTCCCCATGGCTGTGATGGTCTATATAGATATTATTCTCCCTCTCCATGGCTGTGATGGTCTATATAGATATTATTCTCCCTCTCCATGGCTGACATGGTCTATATAGATATTATTCTCCCTCCCCATGGCTGTGATGGTCTATATAGATATTATTCTCCCTCCCCATGGCTGTGATGGTCTATATAGATATTATTCTCCCTCCCCATGGCTGTGATGGTCTATATAGATATTATTCTCCCTCCCCATGGCTGTGATGGTCTATATAGATATTATTCTCCCTCCCCATGGCTGTGATGGTCTATATAGATATTATTCTCCCTCCCCATGGCTGACATGGTCTATATAGATATTATTCTCCCTCCCCATGGCTGTGATGGTCTATATAGATATTATTCTCCCTCCCCATGGCTGACATGGTCTATATAGATATTATTCTCCCTCCTCCATGGCTGACATGGTCTATATAGATATTATTCTCCCTCCCCATGGCTGTGATGGTCTATATAGATATTATTCTCCCTCCCCATGGCTGACATGGTCTATATAGATATTATTCTCCCTCCCCATGGCTGACATGGTCTATATAGATATTATTCTCCCTCCCCATGGCTGTGATGGTCTATATAGATATTATTCTCCCTCCCCATGGCTGTGATGGTCTATATAGATATTATTCTCCCTCCCCATGGCTGTGATGGTCTATATAGATATTATTCTCCCTCCCCATGGCTGACATGGTCTATATAGATATTATTCTCCCTCCCCATGGCTGACATGGTCTATATAGATATTATTCTCCCTCCCCATGGCTGTGATGGTCTATATAGATATTATTCTCCCTCCCCATGGCTGTGATGGTCTATATAGATATTATTCTCCCTCCCCATGGCTGTGATGGTCTATATAGATATTATTCTCCCTCCCATGGCTGACATGGTCTATATAGATATTATTCTCCCTCCCCATGGCTGTCATGGTCTATATAGATATTATTCTCCCTCCCCATGGCTGACATGGTCTATATAGATATTATTCTCCCTCCCCATGGCTGTGATGGTCTATATAGATATTATTCTCCCTCCCCATGGCTGTGATGGTCTATATAGATATTATTCTCCCTCCCCATGGCTGACATGGTCTATATAGATATTATTCTCCCTCCCCATGGCTGACATGGTCTATATAGATATTATTCTCCCTCCCCATGGCTGTGATGGTCTATATAGATATTATTCTCCCTCCCCATGGCTGTGATGGTCTATATAGATATTATTCTCCCTCCCCATGGCTGACATGGTCTATATAGATATTATTCTCCCTCCCCATGGCTGTGATGGTCTATATAGATATTATTCTCCCTCCCCATGGCTGTGATGGTCTATATAGATATTATTCTCCCTCCCCATGGCTGACATGGTCTATATAGATATTATTCTCCCTCCCCATGGCTGACATGGTCTATATAGATATTATTCTCCCTCCCCATGGCTGTGATGGTCTATATAGATATTATTCTCCCTCCCCATGGCTGACATGGTCTATATAGATATTATTCTCCCTCCCCATGGCTGACATGGTCTATATAGATATTATTCTCCCTCCCCATGGCTGACATGGTCTATATAGATATTATTCTCCCTCCCCATGGCTGTGATGGTCTATATAGATATTATTCTCCCTCCCCATGGCTGTGATGGTCTATATAGATATTATTCTCCCTCCCCATGGCTGACATGGTCTATATAGATATTATTCTCCCTCCCCATGGCTGACATGGTCTATATAGATATTATTCTCCCTCCCCATGGCTGTGATGGTCTATATAGATATTATTCTCCCTCCCCATGGCTGTGATGGTCTATATAGATATTATTCTCCCTCCCCATGGCTGTGATGGTCTATATAGATATTATTCTCCCTCCCCATGGCTGACATGGTCTATATAGATATTATTCTCCCTCCCCATGGCTGACATGGTCTATATAGATATTATTCTCCCTCCCCATGGCTGTGATGGTCTATATAGATATTATTCTCCCTCCCCATGGCTGTGATGGTCTATATAGATATTATTCTCCCTCCCCATGGCTGTGATGGTCTATATAGATATTATTCTCCCTCTCCATGGCTGTGATGGTCTATATAGATATTATTCTCCCTCTCCATGGCTGTCATGGTCTATATAGATATTATTCTCCCTCCCCATGGCTGTGATGGTCTATATAGATATTATTCTCCCTCCCCGTGGCTGACATGGTCTATATAGATATTATTCTCCCTCTCCATGGCTGTGATGGTCTATATAGATATTATTCTCCCTCCCCGTGGCTGACATGGTCTATATAGATATTATTCTTCCTCTCCATGGCTGACATGGTCTATATAGATATTATTCTCCCTCTCCATGGCTGTGATGGTCTATATAGATATTATTCTCCCTCTCCATGGCTGACATGGTCTATATAGATATTATTCTCCCTCTCCATGGCTGTGATGGTATATATAGATATTATTCTCCCTCCCCATGGCTGTGATGGTCTATATAGATATTATTCTCTCTCCCCATGGCTGTGATGGTCTATATAGATATTATTCTCTCTCCCCATGGCTGTGATGGTCTATATAGATATTATTCTCCCTCCCCATGGCTGTGATGGATTCATACAGATATTATTCCTCCTCTACATGGCTGACATGGTCTATATAGTGTATTCTCCTCCCATGGCTAGGCATGGTCTATATAGATATTATTCTCCCTCCCCATGGCTGTGATGGTCTATATATAGTCTTATTCTCCCTCCCCATGAAACAGCTGATGGTTATATAGATATTATTCTCCCTCTCCACATGGCTGAGTGGTCTATATAGATATTATTCTCCCTCCCCGTGGCTGTGATGGTCTATATAGATATTATTCTCCTTCTCCATGGCTGTGATGGTCTATATAGATATTATTCTCCCTCCCCGTGGCTGACATGGTCTATATAGATATTATTCTCCCTCCCCGTGGCTGACATGGTCTATATAGATATTATTCTCCCTCCCCGTGGCTGACATGGTCTATATAGATATTATTCTCCCTCTCCGTGGCTGTGATGGTCTATATAGATATTATTCTCCCTCTCCATGGCTGTGATGGTCTATATAGATATTATTCTCCCTCCCCATGGCTGTGATGGTCTATATAGATATTATTCTCCCTCCCCATGGCTGACATGGTCTATATAGATATTATTCTCCCTCTTCATGGCTGTGATGGTCTATATAGATATTATTCTCCCTCCCCATGGCTGTGATGGTCTATATAGATATTATTCTCCCTCCCCATGGCTGACATGGTCTATATAAATATTATTCTCCCTCCCCATGGCTGACATGGTCTATATAGATATTATTCTCCCTCCCCATGGCTGTGATGGTCTATATAGATATTATTCTCCCTCCCCATGGCTGACATGGTCTATATACAGGTATTATTCTCCCTCCCCATGGCTGACATGGTCTATATAGATATTATTCTCCCTCCCCGTGGCTGTGATGGTATATATAGATATTATTCTCCCTCCCCATGGCTGTGATGGTCTATATAGATATTATTCTCCCTCTCCATGGCTGTGATGGTCTATATAGATATTATTCTCCCTCCCCATGGCTGTGATGGTCTATATAGATATTATTCTCCCTCCCCATGGCTGACATGGTCTATATAGATATTATTCTCCCTCTTCATGGCTGTGATGGTCTATATAGATATTATTCTCCCTCCCCATGGCTGTGATGGTCTATATAGATATTATTCTCCCTCCCCATGGCTGACATGGTCTATATAAATATTATTCTCCCTCCCCATGGCTGACATGGTCTATATAGATATTATTCTCCCTCCCCATGGCTGTGATGGTCTATATAGATATTATTCTCCCTCCCCATGGCTGTGATGGTCTATATAGATATTATTCTCCCTCCCCATGGCTGACATGGTCTATATAGATATTATTCTCCCTCCCCATGGCTGACATGGTCTATATAGATATTATTCTCCCTCCCCATGGCTGACATGGTCTATATAGATATTATTCTCCCTCCCCATGGCTGACATGGTCTATATAGATATAATTCTCCCTCCCCATGGCTGACATGGTCTATATAGATATTATTCTCCCTCCCCATGGCTGTGATGGTCTATATAGATATTATTCTCCCTCCCCATGGCTGACATGGTCTATATAGATAGTATTCTCCCTCCCCGTGGCTGACATGGTCTATATAGATATTATTCTCCCTCCCCATGGCTGACATGGTCTATATAGATATTATTCTCCCTCCCCATGGCTGACATGGTCTATATAGATATTATTCTCCCTCTCCATGGCTGACATGGTCTATATAGATATTATTCTCCCTCCCCATGGCTGTGATGGTCTATATAGATATTATTCTCCCTCCCCATGGCTGACATGGTCTATATAGATATTATTCTCCCTCCCCATGGCTGACATGGTCTATATAGATATTATTCTCCCTCTCCATGGCTGACATGGTCTATATAGATATTATTCTCCCTCCCCATGGCTGACATGGTCTATATAGATATTATTCTCCCTCCCCATGGCTGACATGGTCTATATAGATATTATTCTCCCTCCCCATGGCTGTGATGGTCTATATAGATATTATTCTCCCTCCCCATGGCTGTGATGGTCTATATAGATATTATTCTCCCTCCCCATGGCTGTGATGGTCTATATAGATATTATTCTCCCTCCCCATGGCTGACATGGTCTATATAGATATTATTCTCCCTCCCCATGGCTGACATGGTCTATATACAGGTATTATTCTCCCTGTGCCCGGTATACCCGTGCAGTTGCTGTGATTCATGGTTCTATCAGAGGGTGTGCTGGGGGCTCTCGGGGGCCAGGCGGGGGTCCGTGCTCGGTTCCAGATCCCCCAGCAGAGCCGGCTGGCTGCTCTCACTGACATCCCGGTGTACCGGTACCAGCCTGACTGCGCGCACTTCCGGGTGTGGGCGGAGCCTGCGCGCCCCACGTGACGTTCCTTGCTTATATATATACACAGGGCAGTCAGTGTGCTGGCAGTGGCTCAGTCCGCTTCCTCTGGTGCTTCAGAGTGACTGTGAGGGGCATGTAGGACCTACTGCCATACCACCGGGGGGGGGGGAGAGAGAGAGAGCTAATGAGCAGGGGAGAGGGGACTGACTGTGTGTGTACATAGGAGGCTATGAGGGGGCTGAGTGTGTTTAGTATTGTGTGTGTGTGTGTGGTGGGAGAGTAGTGTGTGTGTGTGTGTGTGTACATAGGCTATGAGGGGCAGAGTGTGTTTAGTATTGTGTATGTACCTAAAAGTGTGTGTGGTGTGTCTCTGGCATTGTGTGTGTGGTGGGAGAGTAGTGTGTGTGTACATAGGAGGCTATGAGGGGGCAAGGTGTGTTTAGTATTGTGTATGTATCTAAAAGTGTGTGTGGTGTGTCTCTGGCATTGTGTGTGTATGTGTGGTGGGAGAGTAGTGTGTGTGTACATAGGAGGCTATGAGGGGCAATGTGTGTTCAGTATTGTGTGTCTCTGGCATTGTGTGTGTATGTGTGGTGGGAGAGTAGTGTGTGTGTGTGTGTACATAGGCTATGAGGGGCAGAGTGTGTTTAGTATTGTGTATGTACCTAAAAGTGTGTGTGGTGTGTCTCTGGCATTGTGTCTGTGGTGGGAGAGTAGTGTGTGTGTACATAGGAGGCTATGAGGGGGCAAGGTGTGTTTCTGGCATTGTGTGTGTGCTTCACAAGCTGATGGGTGAGGGTACTGTTCATAGTGCTGCTGTTGGGTGAGGGTGTCACTCACTGTGTCTGGATGAGGGCTGCCACAGCCACAATAGGCCATGTAGCTTAGTGTTGCTGACATTATGAACATTATTACGCTGAGTGTGGGCACCGTGTCCTATCCTTTCTTGTGAATCACAGTTTCTGTGTGCCCTCAGCAACACCAACAGGATTATTTACCAAAATGAGAATTAACTGAACTGAAATCATGGCTGGCTTGGAGAATTTCCCAGTTTTTAGCTATTTTGACCTTAAAGGAACACTATGGTCACCAAAACAACTTTAGCTTAATGAAGTAGTTTGGGTGTATAGATCATGCCTCTGAAGTTCCACTGCTCAATTCTCTGTCATTTAGGAGTTAAATGACTTTTGTTTCTGTGTATGCAGCCCTAGCCACACCTTGGCATGTTGTAAATGAGAAGGCCTGCATGGAAATAAATTTGATTTCATGTTAAATCAGAAGTTAATTACTTTAAAAGTTTGTATCTCCTGCTCTGTAATTTGAACTTTAATTACACATAGGATTACTATAGTGTCCCTGGGTCTAGAACAGGGGTAGGCAACCTACGGCACTAGTGCCATGCACGGCACTCAAGGTGCCTTTGCACGGCACTCAAGGCTGCTAGAGCCAAACATACTCTGGCCTATCAGGAGTCCCAGTAAAACTTCAGATATCTGCTAATACGAAGAGGTGGTGAAGGACAATCCTCAATTTATGCATTGCAGCACGTAGAGGAAGTGATCTCAGAGCACTTCATTCCAGCACTTGTGAATGGGAATCCACACAGTAGTAGAGCAGCTCGCAGTTGCTGTTGCAGCTCCTGCCCTTGACCTGTACCTGGCCAGCCTGGTTCCCACTGGAACCCAGGGAAGCCACCCACACTGCTAGATATACACAGAAATGCAGAATAACCCTCTCTCATACAAATAATACAGCAGCCCACGCACAAACATACACAAAATCCGCTTAAACGCAACACCACTAACAATCCACATACATGCACGCAACCCCACATGCAGCATCTCACATGCAATACCGCAAACAGCCCCCACACACTACCAAACACACAATGTGACATATCCATCCACACACAATTCCACAAGCAGCCCCCATACACAGCCCATATTCATATGTATCATACACGATACCACAAACTACTAATGAACATATACAATATAATAGCTCATATACGCACAAATACAACAATACAAAGCAATTACAGTAAAAATAACACATGCAGAATACGGCAGCAAACACACTTCAATTTTAAAAAAAATAGGACCGGCACGCTACAGGACATCACAATCCTATATCGGCACAGTGCTGCTAAAAGGTTGCCTACCCCTGGTCTAGAAGTTATTAGCAGTAGATAAGAAATTCTAAATGAAACTGAAGTTTCAATAAATAAAGTGTAAGCATTAGTGGACTCTATGCAGGAAGTGTTTAGGAATGCTGTGTAAGTCACTAGTGATGTCCCGAACGGTTCGCCGCGGACTCATCATTGAGTAAACTTTGACCCTGTACCTCACAGTCAGCAGACACATTCCAGCCAATCAGCAGCAGACCCTCCCTCCCACCTCCTGGACAGCTCATTAACAATGCAGCTTCACAATGGATGCTGTCCAGGAGGTGGGAGGGAGGGTCTGCTGCTGATTGGCTGGAATGTGTCTGCTGACTGTGAGGTACAGGGTCAAAGTTTACTCAATGATGAGTCCGCTGCAAACCATTCGGGACATCACTATAAGTCACATGCAGGGAGGTGGGACTAGGGCTGTATAAACAAAGTGATTTAATTCCTAAATGGCAGATAATTGAGCAGTGAAACTGCAGATCATGATCTATACACCAAAACTGCTTCCTTACGCTAAAGTTGTTTTGGTGGCTATAGTGTCCCTTTAAAGCAGCACTGTCACCTTCTCGGTACTTTGCATAATTTGCAAAGACCCTCAATGGAAACATCAGTAGCATTGCTGCTGGGGGTCCTTTGGCAGGTGACCGGCAAAGGTGAGTTCTACTTACCTGATTCTGTCACACTCTCGCCATCCTCTTCCGGCCAATCGTATTCTGCTCCTGGTGCTTCAGCTGCCAGGAACCGACATCCCTATGTTACTATTGTGCACGCGCAAAAGTACAGAAGAGAAGTCTATGGAGGATCCTGTGAGAGATTAGATAGAGCTAATTTCCCTGCAACCGTCACCGGTGACAGCTGGGGGATTAACCCCTGGTCTAGAAGTTATTAGCAGAGCAGTAGATAAGAAATTCTAAATGAAACTGAAGTTTCAATAAATAAAGTGTAAGCATTAGTGGACTCTATGCAGGAAGTGTTTAGGAATGCTGTGTAAGTCCGTACTTTGGCAGTAGTCCCTACTTTGTCTAAGTATATCTTTTGAACGAGTTGACATTTCAATGAAATTCCAACACAGTCAATAGAAGTATTTCAACAAGATGATATATTCATGAAATACTCCTTTTGCAGTTGATGAGCCATTGCTTCAAAACTCCATTGTTACTGAAACCATGTTAATTCATTTCAGTCCTGTAGCACAAAGACGTGTTTTTGTTACAGCACATCTATAACATATATTTAACTCTAGCACTGCCAGGATAATATGGTAGTGCAGTAGCCTGTTTACTTAAAGTTCTATTTGCAGAATATGTCATTCTGTTTGGGTGTAAACATTCCAACAGTCCCTGATGCAACGGTTCAGTCCTGATATTGAGCTGCTGTCCTGGGTTTGATTTCCAGTTTCCCACTGAGTGGATCTGGCCAGTGTGTCTGCCAACCAACCTGACAAACGCTCTACTATGTATCAAACTTTTTTCTAAGCAGAACTGACCCTGTTGCATCACACCTGTGTATATAGCATTGTTGTGGATAATTTACTGCAAACCAATTAGTTTGAATGACTATCTGTTCCTGTCCAAATTAAAGATAATAAAGTTGCGTGCACGCAGAAGTAAATTCACACTGAGACACAAAGTTCAGGTTAATGAAAGAACTCCGGAGAAGTTTAATGGCTTCTGACAGAAAATGGGTGCGCAGACCCTTATAAAGGCATTATTACATCATTGAAGAAAATCAAGATATAGACAAATAGACATTGTTAATTGGTTTAGGTGCTAACATGTTAGTAAAATGCCCTCCCCATTCTTAGGTCACTATCTACGTCATTTCTTAACTCCTACAGGTTTTAGCGCCATTTTGCTAACATGAGGAGCTCACTCGACGGGAGGGGCCTTTTGGCAGCTATCCATTTGGAGCGTAGCTGGCACTTGTTAGTTTCTCAAGGTTAAGTTTCAAGGATTTTAGTAAATACAAATTTTATCAAAGCTATTTCTTGCTGACATGCAAATTCTATGTTCTATAGGCAAAGCTTCCTTGTAAAACTATGGGGGCCTCTTAGAGGTATAGAAAGAGGATTTAAAGGGGCCTTACAGATTTATAGAGGCCTAATAATTCTACAACAGCATCAGTAGCACACCTTGTGTTGGCCTGCCAAACACATTGTGCATTCACACTGCCCACTGTTGGGAGGTATGCTGGCGCCATTGTCCTATTTACCTTTGTGGCATTACTTTTGCGTCATGATAAATTCTTATTCTATAAATATACACATTCTCTTTGGATCCGCTTGCTCATTGCCCACTCCATGGGACATCACCATCCCCCATTTACAGGGAATTACCTTCTACCTTGTCTGCACTCCAGAAGATATGGGCCATGTTGCTAAAGATTTTTATGAAAATTTCTCAAACTATTCTTGCTTAATTTATTTATTTTTTATGGCCACAGCCTAGAAACCAGCCATAACAGCAATGGGAAGGGTGTACTTAACTTTAAAACTGTTAATAACCCATAGAAGGCAAAAATTATATATATTTTTGCAGCAGTGAGAAATTTGACTTTTCCTACTTTAGCATAAGCCCATGGAACTCTTTATTCTTTGTTTAACCATGAACTGTACTGTAAATATAACACGCAATATTTCATATGGCCAAAGAGGGACACATTTATTTTGGGGGTATGGCTGGAGGTGTGATCAGGGAAGTTCAAACTGAATTCAAATAGAGTTTCAAATTTTAAGCCACAATGGGAAATATTCTCTAAGACCCTTTGAGTTCCTGATAATGCATACTTTAGTTAATATCCCTGTCATTACTAGAAAAGAGGGGTACTGGTAAAGAAAA